TAGGCCCTTCAGGGCCAGCATTCTGAGCAGAAGGTCCTTGGCCCCAGCAGCCAGGCTGGGAAGGCCATGTTTTTCTGGGTGAGTCTCAATTTTCCCCAGCAGGTGTTCCTGAGTCAGCCTTTGTGTCCCCCTTCCAGTCCCCCTCCTAGCAGCTGTCCCAGAGCCTGGCCGGACCTGCTCCCACAGGATGCCCACCCAGCTTAGCAGCTTCCAGGGAAAGGGCTTGGTTTGGACACTTGCCTGGGGCAAGCCTAGATTCTTGGTCATGACCTGAGGTGGGAGAAACCATCGTGTTCCGGCCAGAGGGCCAGAGCGAGTGACTTCCTGGGAGAGCCTCTGCCTCCTCCTTTCTGCCCTATTTTTGTGTAAATAACCCAGGCCAAGCCTGTTCCCTTGGCATTAGCTAGAGAGGAATTTTCTAAAGGGTGAAGTGTCTGGGAAATGTTCACCCTTTTTTTCCTTCTGTCTTATGACAAAAGTGCTGCAGATGGAGCCTTGGCTGTTGGTTCCTGGGGTGAGAACTAGTGGGGCCAGGAAAAGGAGACTCTGACCTTCCCCTCCTCCTCCCTGCCTCAGAGGGTGACAAGGCCTATCTCTCATCCTTGTCATCCTTCCTCACGGGGAGGGCAGGGCTTTTTAAGGCTCTAGAGCCAGGAAGAAGGCATCATGCACAGAAATTCCCAGAAAAGTTGGCCTGTTGCACTGTGGGGAAAGACCCAGAAAATGAAAGCTACAGGCCTCGCTGGCGGGGGATCGTCTCATCTTGTCAGCACTGGGTCTAGGCACGTCCCACTTCTCACCCTTACCCTTGGACTCTGCCTTTCCCCGAGTTGCTGACTGAGGTTTCCCTGGCTCTCTTTTCCATGGGGGCTTCCCAAGCCTTCGCTGACCCCCAGTGGGGGAAGAGCTGGGCAGCCTGCACTGCTGGGGGCCCATTTCTCAGACAAGATTCTGAAGGCCTGAGAAGCATAGCACCTCCCTCCCCAACCCCAAGGAATGTCTCTGCACTATCCTTTAACTCTGAACCCACACTGACTACTACATCCCCTCCAACACATGACCCTAGGGACTTGGAAGTTGCCTCAGGTGAGGAAAGGGCCACCTTGTCTTTCCAGCTGTGGAGGCAATGGAAGCAGGCAGAGGGAGAGGGCTTGGGCCTCTTTGTCTACCAGCCCAGCTGCTGCATGGCCTCCACCCAGATTCCCTTCCCCATCTTGAAAGGGAAGACAGAGCCCTGTGTCTCTGTGGAGCCAGCCAGGGCAGGAATGGGCTTGCTAAGTTCAGGAGCTGGCCACATTGTGACTGGAACAGGAAACGCAGCTCCCACAACCTGGCTGTTTACTTTGTGTCCCCAGGAATGGCCGCTCTCCCCACTGCTGCTGGTGCTCTGGGCCTTCCTCTCTGAGGAAGGAGGCTCAGGCACAGCCCCCTCCTTGCCAGAGCCCCAGGTTCTGCTGATGTCTGCTTCTCGGACCTTCACAAAACAGGGCCGGGGGTGGGGTTCAGAAGAAGCTTTGCGTGCACCCAGTGCCACCATCTGTCCGGCTGTCTGGATGAGATCAGATGCTCTCTGACCTTAACGCTGGGGCCGTGGGTCTAGGGGAAGGAGGAGGACCATATGGGCTGGGCACTACCCATGCCATGTGAAATCTTTTTTCCCCCCCAAAACACTACGGTAAAGACTACTGTCTTTGTAGGGAATCCTGGGCATAGGTGGAACTCTATCCCCCAAGTTGGATCAAAGTCTTCCTTAAAGGGCCTCCCCTCACTTAGGCCCAGCTCCAGGGGTCACCCTTGAGGGCAAGGAAATAAAATGCCCTCAGCCTTCCTTGCAGGTAGTGGGCAAGGTTTTTTTCCCCCTTGGGGAAATACAGCTGATAACATACGGTCCACAGGGATTAGCTTCAAAGCCACAATTTCCTTCTTGCTATTCCCGCCCCCCTCCCCAAAAACACACATTCAGAATAGTTTCCCTGGAATTTTCCCCCGGATTCAATGATGGGAATCAGCATTAAGAATGAAGTTGTGAAACCCGTCCTTGTGCACTCAAGTAGTCCCTAGTTCTGCTGCTTTTTTTCTCAGTAAATCTCCACTGCGCGAATTTTCCTCCAGGGTGTTCCTCAGATCCTGGACCCATCTTCACCATGCCTCCCACTTAGGAAGATGGATTCTGCCCTGGGCTGGGGGTGGGGGGGAAGCAGGGGGTCAGGGTAGGGGTGCCTGAGACCACCCCCCCACCCCCCACCCCAACACAGAGACTGGCCTCTGTACCAGTCCCAGGGTGGCTCCGAGGTCTCTTTTAGCCCCAGCACTGGGGCCTCTGAAATGCAAAGATCTCTCAGGCCCTCTCTGCCTCTCCTGGCCTTCCTCTGACAGAGCTTGGCTCTGTGGACCCTGGATATTTTCCTTCGTGTCTTCCGCCACCACCATTGCACCTCTCCTCTCACTAGCAGCTTGCTCAGTGTCTTCTCAAGCAGGGGCCTGGGTCCTGAGAGTGCAGTTCCTTTTCAGGGTCACACGTCTGTCTCCCTTGCCCCACACCCACCCCAAACCCAAGAGACTCGGGCAATTGTAACTGGTATTGTCTCATTTTAAATTAACTTTAATTGTATTCAGATTATAGGAGTAAAGCACACACACTGTAGGAAAATAAGCTTAGGAAAGAAATGATGAAGGCTATCCTACAGTCCTTTCTGTCAGAGACAGACACATTTTCTTGCTGGTGGTCTTCCATCTTAACTGATTCTGATGCCTCCTGTCTGGGGTCGGGGTGGGGGGCAGTCTGTCCCCCACAGAGCAGCCTCCCTGCTCAAGACCCTTGAACCACCTCCACTGCCCACTGCCCCCGCCCTCCGGGGCCAGCCCGGTCCTCAGGGGGCCCCCCTCCTTCCGCCCTGCTCCAGCCCAGCTACCTGGTGGCTGGTCCCCCAATGAGCCCTGCCTCTGTTTCTTGCATCAGCCCTAAGATCTGTCTGGTGTTGCAATCTCCGCCCTGCCCCCACCCGCACAGGGCCATCTTCACCTCCGATCCTACTGTTCCTTTGAGGCCTGGGCTAGGCTTAGTCACTTCCTCCTTGAAGCCTTCTGAGCTGCATTCCACCCCCTCCCCCACCAGAAAAATAGAAAAAAAATCCTAGAAGGACCCTTTCTCTTTTTGGTCCATGAGGAAGCGGAGAGTCAGTATTTGTTGACCAAACGACTGCCTTCCTGAAGTATCTTTTTCTAACGTCTAAGTGTTTGTGGCTCTGTCTTAGTCAAGGAACAGTGTCTGGCACACAGGCCTGTGCCTGCTTTATGGGGGCGGTGGGGGCGGCGGGAGCCTTTTGCCAGGGCTGCAGACTGAGAAGGAGTTCTGAATGTTGTGGACCTCAAGGCGAGGCCAGGCTGGGGAAGGGGAGCCTGGGGGGAAGCAGCAGCTTGCCAGCCCAGATGGGGGATGCAGGCCTAGGCAGCAGCAGGACCCCACAGGGGCAGCTGGCTCGGAACCTGGGTCTCGCCCCACCTGGGGCGGCCCTGCTTGGAGGCTCGCTGGTGGTCCCCAGGGCTTTGCACACTGTGTCTTCTCCCAGCGGTGTGTGCGGTGTTGCCCAACCTGGCCAGGCTCTGGGGTCAGGCGCCCCCGTGAGCCTCAGCTGTGGTGCTGAAGAACAGTTTGGGTCCTGGGCAAGACGGGTGCTGCCGGAGTAGAAGTGGGGTAGGGTCCCTTCTCAGGATTTTTGCATTGTGGTATTTTGAGTTCAAGAAGATAGTACTCCAGGGACAGCTGGGTGGCTTGGTGGGTTAAGGGTCTGCCTTCTGATTAGGTCCTGGGATCCAGGTGGTTAGGCTCCCTGCTCAGTGGGGAGTCTGCTTCTCCCTCTCCCTCTGCCACTCCCCCTGCTTGTGCTCTCTCTCAGTCAAATAAATAGATGGAATCTTTAAAACAAACAAACAAACGAGACAGTCCTCCAGAGTACCGTGTCTGATGCCCTCAAAAATGGTTCTGGCTTCTGCCTTCACAAGGTCTGTGCAGAGTGGTGCTGCTATTTCTGGATGAGACGGGCAGGGGAGGTAGGGGCACAGGGGAGTCTTGGGCTGGTTCTGAACTCCAGCCTTGTTGTTACCAGGCCCTGCCGGCCTTCTCTGGAGCTTGCCTTTCTCATCCCAGCTCAGCCTCAGAGCTAGTTATCTGCAATGGGCACAACAGTGGGGGTGTTTCCTGGCCCCCTCCCTGCCTTAGACATAGGAGTCTAAAGGGGACCCGGCGACAGGCACTTTTGAGTGGAGGAGTTCAGACTGCCAGGAGCAGGCTGTCTTTCATGGCAGAAGCCACGCCTGTCTTTGAGGGTGCTCCCCTCCCTGTGCCTCTCTTTGTCTGGATAGCCCCAGAAAAGAGTAGGTGCGGACGGAGTCCAGGGGCACGCTGGGATCCAACCATTCCCTGAGCCAATGGAATTGGCCTTTGTCCTGTCTGTACCCCTCAGAATGTCGAGGGGGCAAGAGCAAGAATATGAGCCAGAGGTAAGTGTACAGATGCTGAACCGAAGCCATCTCCTGTCTGTCTCTCCCCTCTTCGCTGGCCTCCTTGGGTCAACATGGTCTGACTGTCCACACAAAGGGTGTCCTGCCGTCCCAGGAGGCCATGTCCCCTCCTTAGAGAATAGTGGCACCTGCCACGGGTGCCTCAGAGAACAGAGCAGGACCACAGACCCTGTGCAGAGGGGAGAGTGGACAGGCCCTTCTCCCCAGCAGGCTTTCTCTTTGGGCCTCTGGGACAGGCCTGAGGGACAGAAGGCGTTTCTGGATGGCAGAGGTTTCTTCTTCTTCTGAATAAAGGAAGGACAATCATCCATCGGAGGGAGGGTTCTGAGCCAGGGGGTCCACAGCCCTCCATTAGGATACCTCCCCAGAGACTGTGCCTGGAAGCCCCAGCAGTGGGCTGAGTCCCCATCCCAGGCCTGCAAGCATAGAGTCTGGAGGTGACGGACTGAGAAGAGCCTATCTCTCTGTGCTCTTTCCAGGCCTGCTACCTATGCCACAGCCTGCTGACGCTGGCCGGAGTGGTGGTCAGCTGCCAGGACATTACTCCAGACCAGTGGGTGAGTCTCCCAAGAGGCCGAGATGGAGGCCAGCCCACTGTTGGGAGCTGCAAAGAGTGGGAGACTCTGAAAGAGTGGGAGGCTCTGAAAGAAGTGGGCCTAGGGGAGCCAGGCTCCCTCCTCCTCCCAGCGTCGCACAGGGCATTCCCAGGGGACCCTGACCCAACCTCCCAGGGGCTGCCCTGTTCCTCTCCCCCCTTTCCTGCCCTACTTCAGAGCAGTCATTCAAATGCATCCCTCTTTCTCTGATTTCTTACCCCCTCCTCCCGTTCTGTGGAGGGGCCTGGCCTATGTAACACCCTCCTCCATGCACTCCTCCCACCCCTGCAGGGGGAGCTGCAGCTGCTGTGCATGCAACTGGACCGTCACATCAGCACCCATATCCGGGAGAGCCCCCAGGCCATGCACCGGACCAGACTCAAGGACCTGGCAGCCCAGACCTATATTCGCTGGCAGGAGCTGCTGGCCCACTGCCAGCCCCAGGTGGCACCCCCTCCGGGCCCTAGACTTGGGAGGGGAGGGAAGTGGTCAGGCAGGCTGACCAGAGCTGGCAGCGTATCCACCCCCATGGCAGCTCCTGACTGGCAGGTGGGTAGAGATGCCTCAGAGGACCTTCACCTTGGTCACTGAGAAGCCAAGCCCCATGTAGGGATGTAGTAAGGGGAAGACAGAGAGGCCAACTCCTGGCCAAATGCAAAGAAAAACTTTGCCCTGGAGAGGAGGAGCAGTAAGCAGCGTCAGGACAGGGCACCTTAGGCACCAGCTTTTCCCCCTCTGAGCGCTTGCCTTGCGGGCCTGAGGCTGGCCTCCTGCTCCTACTCCTACTCTCAGCCTGCCCTGGCCCCTCCCAATTTCAGGAGCAACAAGCTCCATGCCCCTGATTTTTGTCAGGCTCTCTTAGGGAATAATATCCATAGCTCATACATATTGAACAAAGATCCACTTTCTCTACAAAACAAGATAACCCCCATGAGACAGGTACTATTACCATCCCATTTTATAGATGAGCAAGCTAACCAGAGTCACTGAGAAGTTAAATAGCTTGCCCCATCCTGAAGGCAGTGTGTAAATGTCAGAACCAGGGCAGAAATCCAGTCCGACTCCCAAGCCTGCAGACTTTGGGTTTTTTTTTTAAGATTTTATTTATTTGAGAGAGCATGAGCAGGTAGGGGGAGAGGGAGAAGCAGGCTCCTCGCCAAGCAGAGAGCCCAACGTGAGGCTAGATCTCAGGACCCTGGGATCATGACTGAGCCGAAGGCAGCCGCTTAACCGACTGAGCCACCCAGGTGCCCCTCAAGCCTGCAGACTTAAGCACAGTCCAAGCCCCGCTCAGATAGCATCTCTTCTGGCCTCTGTCCCTCTGACAAACAGTGTCAGCTGCCTTGGGGGCTCTTCTCTCCCCCAACCCTGAGGAAGACAGGCTGGGTCTGGTGAGCCTCTCTCCTCCCATCCTCCCTCAGCTCCCAACATCTCTATCCTCTGACTTCTCTGCTCATCCTTCCTCCTGTAACCTCTGACTTGGGGCTGACACACTGGCCACAGGCTGTGGCTTGGGTCTCAGATTTCGCAAGTCTCTGAGAAAGCTGGAGAGCAGACCTCACCCTCAATCCCCGAGGAACTAGATCACACTAGTCTCTGGTGGGAAACAGCGTGTTTGTCATGAAAAAAAAGGGAAAAGTGCTTTGTGGCCAGGGGGCAGGCCCCACCTTCTTGTCACACTGCTCTGGGCCTTCAGGCCATGAGTAGAGGGCACCCAGAAAGAGCACCCATGTGCAGTGCTCAAGTGGCCTGTTGACCTGCCATGTCCTCTCCTGGATGGGGAGCCACAGGACTTTTGTAGCTCAGCACCTGGCACAAGGAGGCCTGTAGTGGGTGTTGACGCTGGACAGTCAGCCGGCCCCAGGGCCATCACATTGTTTTCCTCCTTGCTACAGGCCCAGTACTTCAGCCCCTGGAAAGACTAAAAGAGCAGGGCACAGCTGGTCCCCAGCTCTTGGCTCTGGCTGGAAGTGAATGGGGATCAAGCAACAGGAGGAAGCGAAGAACAGAGGCCAGAGGAGGGCCAGTATGATGAAGTGAGAGCCTGCTTCCACACTGCCCCTGACCCCCACCGGGCAATGGATAGGTCTCCCTGCCTGGCCCACCCCTCAGCCCTCCTTCCCTCCCAGCTGTCTCCTCTGCCCCAAGGATTTTGTCTCCACTCTCCGGTTTCCCAGGGCCTCCTGGGCCCTCCCCACCGTCCTTCCTCCCTCTGTCACTAATGTGAGCTTTCTTTGTGCATACTAAAGTCTTATTTCAGCATCGGTGGTTTAGAAAATTTCCTTCAATCCCTGTCCTGAGGGCTCTTGCCCAGGGTCCAGTTTCCTGACATCTCTCCACTGGGACTGTGCTGAGTTCCCACCTCTGACAGTCATGTGATGTGGTCCTCTTAGGCTCCTCCCCCTGTCCCAGAAGGCTGTTTGTAAATCCTGAGGGAAGTAATTCCTGTCAGAAACACACAGGCAGGACGGCTAGGGAGCATGGGTTTGGACCTGGTCTGGGACCAAACCCCCCCCACCCCTTACTCACTGCCCTCTCCGGGGACAGTCCACAGACTGAGCTGGTGGGTCAGGAGTGTAATTACACTTAATTGAGTTTATTGTTGAGTTCTGAAATCAACTCCACAGACTTAGAAGTGGGGAATGGGGAATGGATGGTAGGGGCCAAAAGACAGTTCTGGATACTGCTGTTGCTTTCCCTCAGCCTTACCCTTGCTCTGATTCTTAAGGAAGTGCTGGATGTCTTTGACCGACCCCTCCCCCCCCCCCCCCCCCCAGAAGCAAATGGGCCCTGAACAAGCCGGCGAGATCCTTGGGTATGCCCATTCTCTGTCTACTCCTCCAACCCCAAGAATCCATTTTAGCATCAGGTTGGGAGAGGGTTTTGCAGGGTCCATAAGACATGGAAATAGCAGAGGATCACCCCTACACCCCTGACCCGTGCCCATTCATCAGCTCAAGCCGAGCATGTGCCGACAGCTTCATCATGGCTGGTGCTTACGACTTTCTCTATTTATGTGCCCCTTTCCCTTTTTCTTTTATGCCACAGGAGCAGGGCAGGCTAACTAGGAGAAAGACTCCCCCCACATAAAGGACCTTCAGGGCAAGTGGCTCAATTTGCAGACCTGAAGGGTAGGCCATCACTTCCTGGGCCTGTCTTATTTATTTGTTTGCTTGTTTTGTTTTACTTAAGTAGGCTCCACACCCAGTGTGGAGCCCAACTCAGGGCTTGAACCTGAGATCAAGACCTGAGCCAAGATCAAGAGTTGGATGCTTAACCTACCGAGCCACCCAGGTGCCCCCCTGGGGCTGTTTTAGACACAGCTGCCTCCCTCACCCAGAAGGCTGGTACCTGGGGCATCTATAATTCAGAGGGCCTGAGCACACAGCCGAACGCTGCGTGCCATACCGGTCGTCGCCCTGCCATGCTCCCTTTGCCAAGTGACAAGTGGAAGAAGTCCTTGGCCAGGGTGACTTGGATGCCCAGGTGATTTGACCGAGAGTTCTGGTTTCTGTTCCTGGCCACATCACAGGGCCCCCTGGCTGGGGCACCACGGAGGCCCGAGCGGCATCAGGTAGGCCTGAGATGGTCTGATAAAAGGGAAGGCTCTGGTGAGGCAGCCTCCTTCGTGTCCCTCCAGGCTGCCCCCGCTTCTGACACTGTACATCCTGACAGCTAATCCTCAGCTCTTCGGTTTGCTCTGGAAACCTGGAAATCACCTTTGAAATTTCCCCTCTTTGTTCTCACTGCCAAGGGTAGAGAGGGAAAGGCCTAAGAAGCTGAACTGGGGAGTTTCCAATTCTCGAAGCTGCCCCTACCTGGCTCTGAGAAAGAGATCATGCTGTCTATCAGCACAGACATCGGGGCCTTTCTCCCCAGTCCTGGTGCTTGAGCACTGAGCCCTCCTCCCCTGTTCCCCAAACACACTTGTCCCCAAGGGGGAAACAGATACCAAGGAGAAAGAAGGTGTTGGTGACTACTCAGTCCCTCCAGAGATCTAGCGGTAACCTGAGCAGAGGGGTGTGCTTCAAGGTCACCCAAGGGCATCCCATATCCCCTGGGACATGTAATGGGCCCTCACTGGAACTGGCTGGAGGCTGACCAGATCTTCTAAAACCGGTCTGGGACCAGTTAGAGACTCAGTCTCCTCCAGGCCAAGAATTCCACAGTGCTGCTGGCGACTTCACCACTTGCCCTTTCCAGATCCTTAAGCCCCTGGGAAAAGGCTGAGGGATATCCTGATTGAAAGCCCTGGAAACGCAGCCGGGGCTGTGATGACGGATGTTTTCCGGCTTCCTTTTGGTGATGGTGGCAGGGAGGGGCTGGGAAGGGAAAGGCTTCCCAGGTGGACAGCTTTGATAATTCTCTTCTAGGAGGAAGTAGAGGAAGTCCTTTTCCTATGTCCCCACTCACCTCAGTCCCCAGCCCTCCAAAAGATCCCTGAAGGGTGGCTGACCCAGGCTTTCTCATTTCCCCCTCTGTGAGCTAACAACAGCTCTCAGATCCTTTGGAAGTTGTCCAGGAAGTGCTCACTGGAGAACCCCAGTGTGAACCCTGGGCTCCACTGTGGTCTGGAAGCTGCCTTGCAAGAGCTAGTGGTAAGGAGCTCAAGTGAGGGACACCATGGCACATGACCAATGTGTGGGGGAGGGACTGGGAGGTTGACTTTCAGGCAAGACTCCTGGACCCATCTGTAGGGACTGAGCTGAGTCTGAGCTGAGCTGCCAGTGGATCCTTGGAGAAACTCAGAAGGCATTTAACATATGTGGGCTTTCCTTGACTTGGCCACAAGCAGATGAGCAAGAGGGCCTGTCAGGGCCTAAGGCTTGAAGCATGGGTACTTTAAATAGAATATGCCAGACAGGCCCTAGGGAGACATGACAGGTAGAAGAGACTTTCCTTCTTCTTCTTCTTCTTCTTTTTTTTTTTTTCTTAATTTAAACCCCAGGAATGTTCATTTTTGACCGGTTGTACTTTTATTAAAAAGTATGAATCATGAGCAAGTAGTCATGTAGGAAACTTTATCCTCTGCCCACCCACCCATGGAAAAGGCCAGTGCTGGAAATTAACAGCAGGAAATGAGTGAAGGTAGAAAAGGGGAGTGGGGTGGGGAGCTGCAGCCTTATCTTTGAGGAGCATTTGGGAGGGAAGGGCTCCCCGAGTCTGCTAGCAGGAACAGAGAAGTCTGCCATAACGTACAGAAGACTGTCCCTGCCAGTGAAACCAAACCACCTTTTGAAACTTTCCACTGGGGCCGTCTTGCAGGTGGAGCTCTGCCTGGTGGGGGTGGGAGCAGAGGTGAGGAAAAACAGCAGGAAACGAGCTGTTTCAGGCTTAAAGGTTGTCCAGATGCACTCTGACTTGGTGGAAAGACAGGACTGGGAGTCCCAAGACCTGATTTAACATCCTGACCTTGCTAAGTATCTACTTTACTTTGAGCAGGTTGCTTCATCCTTCTGAGACTAATTTTTATCTTCAAAATCAGAGACAAGGATACCTGCCATTTGAACGGTGGTCAGGGTGGATGATGTGAGGAAATGTATGTGAAGGCAGGTGGCAAAGTGTAAAGCACAGAACAGATATGAGTGCTATCTGCATATCAGTTCACCTCCACTCAAAAAAAGACTCAGGGTCTAACCTGGAGGAGGCGTCACCCCCAACTCCCTCCCAGCCAGCAGAGGCAGAGCCTTCCCTGCCCACCCCATGCTAACTGTTAAGGCTTGCCCTATATCTCCAGCATCTCCAAGACCATGGCTTTTTTTTTTTTTTTTTTTTTTTTTTTTTTGGCCTAGTGGAAAGGAGCTGGGAAATATGGCTTTGGCCAGTGCAGGAGAAGGGCCCTTTATGTGTACCAGCAAAGACCCAATTGTTACTGAATCCAAACTGGGCTGCTTTTCCCAATTATCTCCACTACTCTTCTGGTCTCCATTTTTAGATGCCAAGTTTTAACTCAGAACAAAAGCTCCTGTCGGGACTGATTTATAATGCAGATTTGCTGACTGGGCCCTCCAGTGTTCCTCTCCTCCAGGACTGCGCAGCTTGAAGTCCCCACCAAAGCCTTGGGGCTCCAGTCTCTTTACCTCTGTCCTTTGCCCCTAGCCAAGAGGAGGCATCTGTGTCTGGGTGCCGATGGGGCGGCTTCCCTGGGGTTTGTCCACCTGCCCAGCTCTGAGGACCAGCTGGCAAGGTCCACGCCAGCACCACTCCAGCGGAGCAGGCCAGAGCTACAAGTGACTTCTAGGAGCTGCTGTGGGCGGAGGCAGGCGGTTCTTAAAGGTGGTAGCTCTCCAGCGCGCCTTTCCCTCAGCTGCTTTCATCTGAACATTAGGGCTCATGTCACTTGTTACTCAGCCTTCTGGCATCAGAAGGACTCATTTCTTGGGGGCAGGCTCTGTGCAACAGGAGTCTCCCGGAGGGCTGTCTTCCCGGGGAGCTAGCTGGGCAAGGGCGCTGCTGTCCCTCTGTGTGGAGCATGAAAAACAAGGAGCAGACTCTCCGGAGATTAGTGGGTCTAACTGGTTGGTAAAACCCGTTCCAGTCTGACTGCGGGGGCCAGCTGGTGTTGGGGCCAAGAAACGAAGCAGAATTTCGGGCCAAAAGACCCATTCTGGTCTGCCCCAAAAAGGAGCCTCAATTTCCCCGGCACCCCTCCCTCGGATACTCGCCCCGAAGGGGCTTGCCCGCGTTGGTTCCAGTAACTGCTGGGAGCTCCTCGGCCGCATTCCCGAGCCCAGCCGCCCAGCCTTGGGGGACACTTCGGAAAGACCGGGTGAGTCCGATCCCCCCAAGGCAATGCCCGGAATCCCTCCCTCGCCCCACCTCCCCTCGCTTGTGGCGTAGACCGCGACTCCGAGGCGCGGGGCGGCAGGGCGCGTGGAGGGGCAGGGGTCCGAGTCCGCCGGCGGGGAGCCGGCGCGGAGCCGGGGGGGAAAGGGGGCGGGCCGGCGGGTCGCGGCGGGTCGCAGCCCCCTCCTGGGCCGGACCTCGCGTCCCGCCCCCGGCCTCTGCTCGACACCCCCCCCCCACCCCGCCTGACGTCAGGGGGGAGGGGGCGGAGAGCGGCGGCAGCGCTGGTGAAAGACCCGGCGCCCGGCGCGGTGGCGCGGGGAGCCCGAGCCCAGGGGCGCCGAGGAGAGCGGGGACCGAGGGGCGGTGGCAGAGGGGACAGCGGAGGAGGGCGGGCGGGCGCGCGCAGGCGGGCGGAGGCGCGCGGGTAGGGGCGGACCGTGATCCGAGCCGAACGCGAGGGCGGCGCCCAGGGATTCAAGCCGTAAAGAAGAGGTGAGTGAGGCCAGGGTTGCGCGGGGCCGGAGCACCAGGGCTACGGGGCCGCCGCTTTGTCCCCCGACTCGCGCAGGAGCCGCCGCATGCGCGAGGGACAGGGTCTGGGGGCGCACGGAGGGCTAGCGGCGGGGACAGCAGTCGGTCCGAGATCCTTCCTGCGCTCCCCGCGGGCTGGCCGGCGGGGGCTCGGGAGCCGGGCAAGCAGTGCCCGCAGCCATAGCGTCCCGAGGCGCGCACTGGTCTAGGAGAGCGGGGCTACGAGGAGCGGGGTTCCCCTGTGCTGTCGGGTCGGCGGCCAGGATCCTCTCCCAGGCCCCCGAACTGCCCCCGGCTCCCCCACCCCCGACGGAAAGTTTGGGGCGGGCTTGGACTGAGGCCGATGTTGTGGGATCGGATTTCCCTGCCGCGGCCCCCCGCCCGCCCGACCGCTCCGCTGGGGAGGCGGGTTGTCCTGGAAAGCCAAGCTCCCGACCCGAGCCTGGCCGCCCAGCCCCTGACGGGAGCGCCCGCCCTGCAGCCGCGGAAGCGCGGTTCGCGCCCGGCCGCTCGCGGTGGGCTAGGGTAGGGGGGCGCACCGCCTGGGCCCCGCGCTCCTCCAGCCCCCACCCCACCGGCTGCTCCTGCTTCCCCGCCCTGGGAGGAGCTGGGGGTGGGGGCATCACCGTGCTGGCCGATTCTCGGAGCGCGCCGTGGGGTCCGGCCCGAGCCTTGGGTAAGGGGCAGAGGGAGGGCTGGGGGTGTGTTGGGGGGACGGAGGAAGGAGGGGTGAACGTGTGCCTAGCCCCCCCCCCGCCCTTCCAGTGCTGGGATACTGGGCCGACAGGGGGCGTCCGCCGGCCAGGCTCGCCACGCTCCCTGCGCCTCCGCTTTGTTTGCATTCAAATCCCGGGAGCTGGGGGAGGGGAGAATCTGGGGTGAGTGGGTGACCAAGGACGAGGTCTTGGCGGGGACCCTTTGTTTTGGGGTGAGCAGGTCCCCAGCTTCTGTGTCTCTGTGCCCGGCACTGGAGGGCTGGGGCACTGGCAATTAATGTAGGTGGCTTGCCCAGGCCGGGGTCCCAGGGCGCAATCCCTGAGTTGGAAAGGTTCGTCAGACCCGGGGGGCGGGGGAGCGCAGCAGGCACCGGCCCTGCACCGGGCGTCCCCGGCGGTCGGAGAGGAACCCCTCGCGCTCCCCACCCGCCCCTCTACTCCCCCCACCACCCCCTCCTGAGAGCTTCGCCAGGAGATCCCTGATTAGACCGGAGCCGGTTCTGTTGTCCCGCCGCCCCAAAGCGTGAGGGCTAGTGTCTCCTAGGAGGCTGTGCAAGGAACAGGATGAGGCCCTGGTCATTTCCACGCCCATCCCACCCACTTCCTGCCTCCCGTCTTGGGCAACAAAGGGGCCTCGGGAAGCTGGGCCCCTTCGGCTCCCGGCCCCACTTCGGCCCTGATGATTTGGAATCAGGGTTTGGGGCTCTGCCTGGCTATTGTCTGGGGGGAGGGGAGAGGCTGGGGCTGGGACCCCCGCAGGGCTGGCTCCATCAGGTCCCCTCCCGGAGCAGGGGAGGGGTGGGGGGAAGGGGGCTTCTGCAACCGCCCACCCACTGTATACCCTTTTACCCAGCCAAGGGGTTTGCGTGCCAAAAGATCTTGGGGCTGGCTGGAGCACGAGTGGGGGCAGGTCCTGCTCCCAGAGGTTATTTTAAGAAATCCTCAAATCTGTCAGGCCTGAATGTGGGGGAAGGGGTCCCCTTTTAATTTCTTAAACAACTTCCTGTTGGGAGGGAGTGGGTGAGGGCCTGGAGGCCAGAGAAGGTTTCTTGGAGTGTCCAACCCTCCAGCTGACTCAGCTCCTCCCCTCCCCTCTGGGGTTCCCACCTCCTTTGGAATCTGTGGGGGCTGAGGCCAGGTGTTGGGGGGAACCAAGTCTCAGCTTCAAGGATTGGGTAAGGAGGGAACCCAGGAGGCTTCTGGGGAGGCTGATCAGGTCATATGTCCTGTCAGTGCCTCCCGGCTTGGGCTTGTGTGGGCCCCCTTCCGGTCTGTTTTCTCTGGCTGTGATTCTGACCCTTTCTTTTCCCCCAGCAGGGCAGCTGGCCTGGAGCTTAGAGGCATTTGCCATGGCCCCACACTGGGCTGTCTGGCTGCTGGCAGTGGGGCTGTGTGGCCTGGGCATTGGGGCTGAGATGTGGTGGAACCTGGTGCCCCGGAAGACCGTATCTTCTGGGGGTGAGTGACTAAAGTCCTGAGGAGGAAGACCAGTGTGGGGAGGGGAGGCCAGGAGGGACTGCAGCAGGGAGAGGAGCAGTTGCCTCTAGATATGCCAGCTTTATTCTGCTCTCGGGCTCAAAGCCTACAGGTGACACAGCTGTCCAAGAAATGGGAGTGAGTGGCCCCAGGGACCCAGAACTGGTAGTCCTGGGATATCTCTTCTTCAGATGATTAGGACTTGGCTGCGCCTGTTATGCAAGGAAGAGAGACCCTTCTCTTCTGTATCATTCTCCCCATACCTTAATTCTGGAACTAGCACTTGCACTGAGAGCCCACTGAGAGAAAACAGAGCCCGGATAGGCATAAGGCAAAGAGTGTCATCACCCCCCTCCCCAAAGTCCTCCTAGCTTTTTGCCCCCAGGAGCCCCCTTATCAACCATAATACACCCCCTCTGCTACCTTGACACTTGTGCCCTCTGGTGGCTCTGGATGTGTTTACGCATGTGCTCGTGGTGGGGGGACAGCAGACCTGACAGCCCTTTGATAGCCTTTTGCACACGCACACACCTGTATTAAGAGGTGATGTCAGGTGTTTGTATCATCAGTGCACTCTGGGGACCTGGGATGAGCTCACCTCCCACAGGCTCCACTCTGCTGCTAATGAAGCCCTCCCTTGCCAGCCTGTGTCTGGCTCCAAAGGCTCAGGCTGGTTTAGGGGGACCCTGAGGACAGGTCAGCAGCTATTTGGGGGCTGATGTAGGAATTCTCTGTCATAGTGTCGTAGTGTCATAGTGCCTTGCGTGGTGAATAGTAACAGGGCTTCAGTGCCTTCTCTGGTTCCCCCGACCACCCTGGCCTGGCCTTCCAGCCCCAGTTCAGTCTCCCTCATTCCCACCTGTCCCAGTGGCCAGCCGTGTTTGGATCTCTGGCAGCCTGGATTTGGGTCCCGCTGGACTGAAGAGTGTCCTCAGGCAAGCAGTGCTTACAGCTTCAACTTTAGTACTCTCTGCTGTGCCAAATCCCGGACTGGGGCCTGGCCGGAGCCTGATGTACGCAGCGGGTAGCAGGCAGCAAAGAAGGAAGCAGTAGCAGAGGAAGCAGGGAGGGGGAAGAGCCCAGTTCTGTAGCCAGAGGTGCTGTTGACCCTGAGAGTGAGGGCCATCAGTCTGATGGCTTCCTCTGGCCGGAAGCTGTGGCTGAGATATCCTTCCTTCCTCCTCACCAGCCCAGATTTGCTGCCTCCCAGGCTGGGAAAGGCCAGGGAGGCTTGGAGGGAGCTGTCAGAGCCAAAAGGCTATTAGAGAAGGCTCTTTATTGCTGGTCAGGGTGCTTAGCTGGCATCCGCTTGTGGGGTGCTAGCTGTAATGTGGGGCAGCAGGGGTGATTAGGCCCAGGAGACCACTGTACAGAGGAAGGCTGATACTGTGGGGAAGAGGATGCCTGGAGCCCCGGGAAGGCCTCTGCCCATTCACCACCCTGCTCACTCCCTCTCTTGTCTCCCCGCCCACCCCTGCTTCTTCGCCCTGCAGAGTTGGCTGCAGTAGTCCGGCGGTTCTCCCAAACGGGCATCCAGGACTTCCTGACGTTGACCCTGACTGAGCAGACCGGGCTTCTGTACGTGGGGGCCCGGGAGGCCCTGTTTGCCTTCAGCGTGGAGGCTCTGGAGCTGCAAGGAGCGGTGAGAGGTGGGGGAGTGGGAGGCACACAGGTGTGGGGAGAGTGGCAGGACCCAAAGGGGCTTAACCTGATGAAGCTGTCCCCTCAGCCCTGTTCTTCCTTGTGGAAATCTTGCCCAGTTTCCATTCCCACCCTTCTAGCAGAGCAGACATGCTGCTTTCCCTCCTCTGCAGCTTTGCGGCATTCTGGGGCTTCTGTTCTCCGTTGAAATAAACTCCCGGACAATGGGGACTGTGTACGCTCCCTTGTGGTGTCCCCATGTAGCTGCCACGAGCCATGCCTGTGGCAGATACTCAGGGCACGTGCTCAGTGGCTACTTGGGATGTTGATGTCTCCCCCCACCCCCTTCCCAGATCTCATGGGAAGCACCTGCTGAGAAGAAGGCCGAGTGCATCCAGAAAGGGAAGAGCAACCAGGTGGGTGCTCAGGATACGGCCAGGAGAGCCAGAACCACCCCCCCCATAATTCTGTTGGCCAGGCCTGCAGTTGTCCCCTACCTCCACCCTCTCCCTTTGTTCCAGACAAAGGGAGGGGTCCTTGTGTCAACCATGTCCCATGTTCTCCTAACTCTGAGTGAACCCTTCTCTCCCCAGACGGAATGTTTCAACTTCATCCGCTTCCTGCAGCCCTACAACACATCCCACCTGTACGTCTGTGGGACCTATGCCTTCCAGCCCAAGTGCACCTACATCGTGAGTGCTGCTTTCTCCCCTCAGCCGCCATCCTACTCTGGGACCCAGCCCTACTCTGGGACCCCCCCCACCCCGGGCGCTTCCGCATTGTCTCTTCCCTGCCCCTAGGACATGCTCACCTTCACTTTGGAGCGTGGAGAATTTGAGGATGGGAAGGGGAAGTGTCCCTATGACCCAGCTAAGGGCCACACTGGCCTCCTTGTGGGTGAGTGGCTGTCCCCACGGCAGGCTGGGGGAGTATCCTACCCCAACCCCCCCCCCCCCCCCCCCCCCCCCCCCATTGTGGATCTGTGTGGCCTGAACGAAGTTTTATGTCACTTCTGGCCTGCCTGATCCACTGTCTTCCGTAGACGGCGAGCTGTACTCAGCCACGCTCAACAACTTCCTGGGTACAGAGCCAGTTATCCTGCGCAACATGGGGCCTCACCACTCCATGAAGACAGAGTACCTGGCCTTCTGGCTCAACGGTGAGCCCCAAGGAGCTTGCGTGGGGCCCAGGGGGAGCCGTGGGTGAGAGGCCCTGCAGCACCCGCCCTGCTAACCCTCCTCCCCTTCCCATAGAACCTCATTTTGTAGGCTCTGCCTACATCCCAGAGAGCGTGGGCAGCTTCACAGGGGACGATGACAAGGTCTACTTCTTCTTCAGTGAGCGGGCAGTGGAGTATGACTGCTATGCAGAGCAGGTGGTGGCTCGGGTGGCCCGTGTCTGCAAGGTACGGAATCCTGTGGTGAGTGGGGAGCCCCGGGAGGCCTGGTGGCTGAGCGGGCCTGCCCAGCAGTGTCCCCTTGCTATCTGCCAGGGGGACATGGGGGGGTGCGCGGACCTTGCAGAGGAAGTGGACCACGTTCCTGAAGGCGAGGCTGGTGTGCTCGGCCCCGGACTGGCAGCTCTACTTCAATCAGCTGCAGGCCCTGCACACCCTGCGAGATGCCTCTTGGCACAACACCACCTTCTTTGGGGTTTTTCGGGCGCGATGGTGAGTCGGCTGGGAACCCTGGGGGGCCGGGGGGGAGGGGGGTTGCCCAGGAGGGATGGTTGGGGATGCAGGCCACTGGGTAAAGGCTTAAGTGGTCCACTGACCAGAAGGCAAGGAGGATGTTGGGCATCTGCCCCTCTCCGAGTTCCCCCTCCCCCCGGGGAGGTGTGCAGTGCCCTTGCCCCTGCGGTAGGTTAGAGCCAACGTGACATTGCACACAGCCACGACTGCTTTGTGTGTGGGGAGGGGGCTACCTTCCCGGTCCATGCCATGAGCTGGGGTAAAGTGGACACCACACCTCACCCTTGGGTTCCCTCCTTTGCTATGACAGGGGTGATGTGGACTTGTCAGCGGTCTGCGAGTACCAGCTGGAAGAGATCCAGAGGGTATTTGAGGGTCCCTACAAGGAGTACCGTGAGCAAGCCCAGAAGTGGGGCCGCTATACCGACCCCGTCCCCAGCCCACGGCCTGGCTCAGTGAGTCCTCCGGGATGGGGATGGGCTCCCGCCCTCAGCCGCAGTAGCTCTCCACCATGCTGACAGCTCTCCCCTCCTCCCCCCTGCCCCCGCTCCACCCCCACTCCCCAGTGCATCAACAACTGGCACCGACGCCACGGCTACACCAGTTCTCTGGAGCTGCCGGACAACACCCTCAACTTCATCAAGAAGCACCCACTGATGGAGGAGCAGGTAGGGCCCCGGTGGGGCCGGCCCCTGCTCGTGAAGAAGGACACCAACTTCACCCATCTGGTGGCTGACCGGGTTACAGGGCTTGACGCAGCCACCTATACGGTGCTGTTCATTGGCACAGGTAGGCACCTGGGGAGGCGGGTGTGGCTGCTGGAAACTGGGTAAAGGCCTGTGTGTGTCGGGGTGGGGAGATCTAGAGATGCCCCAGGGGCCCCATGCCCTCTCGTTCATGCCTGTCCTCCCCAACCACCCACAGGAGATGGCTGGCTGCTCAAGGCCGTGAGCCTGGGCCCCTGGGTCCACCTGATCGAGGAGCTGCAGGTGTTTGACCAGGAGCCTGTGGAAAGCTTGGTCCTGTCCCAGAGCAAGGTAGTAATCAGGCCCCGTCCACCACTGTCCCTACACCTTCCCGACCAGGACAGGGCTGGGGAGGCACTAGAACACACCTCGCTTAGCTTGGGGCGAATTCCAGGAAACAAGCGCGCTAACGGAATCTGCTTGGCGGCTGGCGGGCATTATATATAGCCAGGTCCCCGTGGGGCAGTGTTCCCAGAATTGGGCCTTGGCAGTGGCTCGCCACGCTTCCGTCAGACCCCTCGAGGTTGTGCTGTGCCTCTGTGACCTACAGCCTCTTCTCTATGGTGCTGTGGTAGTTGGGGCCCCTGGGGTTCATGCTGCCCTCATGCTGCTGGCTGTCTTTGCGCCCCCATCCCCCCAGGTCCAGCCCAGCCCGGTCCTGGCCCTCCGCTCCCTTTGCTGTTGGCCTGAAGTGCTGCTTGCACCCACCCTTCCTTCTGGCTGGCTTGTGACTCCCGTGAACTTTCATGTGCTCGCCCTTGACCAACTGTTCTGGCTCAGATTGTTCCCCAGAACGTGGAATAATGGCAGAAAGAAAGTCCGTAGTTGAAGAAACACACAGATTGGCAGTGAGCATTCAAACAGAGGAAAACACCTTATGCTATGCCCGTGCTATTGTGAGGACTGATGGGCCTAGCGGAAAACAGGCTTCCTGCACTATTTATACTGCACTGAAGCGTGTGTGTGTGTGTGTGTGTGTGTGTGTGTGAGATTATATTCCTCAGCCTCGCACTTCCACTGTTCCAGTCTAAGAAGGTCATGTCTCTAAGGTGCTTAGGATTGTGTCTGGCTTGTAGTAAGCCTGGGGTGCGTTCTTCAGTCCTTCGATTTCCCTCCTCAGAGTTTAGCACTGCGCCCTTCCTCCTCGGGCCCCTTTGCCCTCGTGCTCCCACGCAGCCGTTGGAGCTGCCCCCCAGGCCATGTCCCCCCCCCTGGCTGAGCCTCCTGCGCCCCGCTTCTCTTGCAGAAACTGCTCTTTGCGGGCTCCCGCTCTCAGCTGGTCCAGCTGCCCCTGGCTGACTGCGCAAAGTACCGCTCCTGTGCCGACTGCGTCCTCGCTCGGGACCCCTACTGTGCCTGGAGCGTCAACACCAGCCGCTGCGTGGCTGTGGGTGGCCCCTCGGGGTGAGTGGGGCTCGGCACGTGCTGGGACCGGGGTGGGAGCCAGGGTGGTTGGAGCCCCAGTGCCCATGGACCCTGTTTCCCCAACCAGGTCCTTGCTGATCCAGCACGTGACGGTCCTGGACACCTCAAGCATTTGCAACCGTGGCAATAAAAAAGGTGAGCTGCCTTTTTTCTCCCTCTCCCCAGTAGGACGGGCCCCGGGTTCCCTGTGCTAACTCTGCTCACTCTCTCTACTACTGCAGTCAGGCTCACACCCAAAAACATCACCGTGGTGGCGGGCACAGACCTGGTGCTGCCATGCCGCCTCTCTTCCAACTTGGCCCACGCCCGCTGGACCTTCGGGGGCCGGGACCTCCCCGCGGAACAGCCAGGCTCCTTCCTCTATGACGCCCGCCTGCAGGCCCTGGTCGTGATGGCTGCCCAGCCCCGCCACGCCGGCGCCTACCACTGCTTTTCAGAGGAGCAGGGGGCGCGGCTGGCTGCCGAAGGCTACCTGGTGGCCGTGGTGGCTGGCCCATCGGTGACCCTGGAGGCTCGGGCGCCCTTGGAAAACCTGGGGCTGGTGTGGCTGGCTGTGGTGGCCCTGGGGGCCGTGTGTCTGGTCCTGCTGCTGCTTGTTCTGTCGCTGCGCCGGCGGCTGCGGGAGGAGCTGGAGAAGGGTGCCAAGGCGGCAGAGAGGACCCTGGTGTACCCCCTGGAGCTGCCCAAGGAGCCCACCAGTCCCCCCTTCAGGCCTGGCCCGGAGACTGACGAGAAGCTCTGGGATCCCGTCGGCTACTACTACTCGGACGGCTCGCTCAAGATTGTGCCTGGACACGCGCGGTGCCAGCCCGGGGGCGGGCCCCCCTCTCCACCTCCTGGCATCCCCGGCCAGCCCCTGCCTTCTCCGACCCGGCTTCACCTGGGGGGTGGGCGGAACTCAAATGCCAATGGCTACGTGCGCTTACAGCTGGGAGGGGAGGACCGCGGTGGGCTGGGGCACCCACTGCCTGAGCTGGCCGACGAACTGAGGCGCAAGCTACAGCAGCGTCAGCCACTGCCGGACTCCAATCCCGAGGAGTCCTCCGTATGAGGGGCCCCACCGCCTCGCAGGGGCAGCGTGGGACGCGCGGCTCCTCCGTTTTTGCACAGGCACCAGCTACCTCAGGGACATGGCGCGGGCACCGGCTCGGACTGGGGCAGACCCTGCCCCGCACCTGCCCGGCCATGAGGACCTGCTCCGCTCAGCACGGGCACTGCCACTTGGTGTGGCTCACCAGGGCACCCGCCTCCCAGAAGGCATCTTCCTCCTCTCTGTGAGGGGCTGTGAATCACGGACACATGGGACCCCAGCCGCCAAAACGTTTCAGGCAGAAGTTGGAGATGTGGGTGTGTTTGTATCTAGGTGTATGTGTATGTGGGTGTGTGCATGTGTGTGTGACCTAGTCTTCTTGTTTCTCTGTGTGTATGTGTGTATGTGGGTGTGTATGAGGTAGTTTTTCTTTTTCTGTCCAGTCTTCCCTTGGCCTGGGGTCCTCCTGGTGAGTCATTGGAGCTATGAAGGGGAAGGGGTCGTATCACTTTGCCTCTCCTACCCCCGTCTGTCCCCCATGGGGGTCAGTGATGTACATAATGGGGGTGGGCTGGGCAGGGTGCTGTGCCCCTTTTGGGAAGTCCAGGGCTCTGGGGTGGGCCTGGTCCTGCTCCTAGGGCTGTGAATGTTTTCAGGGTGGGGGGAGGGAGATGGATTCTCCTGTGTGTTTGGGGCAAGGGTGGGAGGGGCCTCCCACTTGGCCCTGGGGTTCAGTGGTATTTTATACTTGTCCTCCCTTATTGGGCGGGGAAAGGTTGTGGGGGGGGGGGGGGGGGGAGGAGGAGGGGAGAGGAGAGAGGGTGGGCATGCTGTGGATATTGCATATCCTCTCCCAGCCCTAGGAGGAGGGCTCCTAACAGTGTAACTTATTGTGTCCCCGCGTATTTATTTGTTGTAAATATTTGAGTATTTTTATATTGACAAATAAAATCAAGAAAACAGTAAGTGTTACTGTGATAAGGGTAAGGCATTTGGGCCAAAACCTTCTGGGCAGGACTAGCCTCACCTCCCCATAGTTCTAGTGCAGCTGTCCCTAATGTTGTCCCTGCCTGCTTGTGCCAGAGGGAGGATAGTCCAGGCTCCAGTGTTTTCCCACAGTGGTAGCTGTGGGGCTGGGAACCAGACCAGGGCCACAGCCTCCTGGGAGTCAGCTTTGGCTTCTGGTCAGAGGGAGAAGTTAGGGCATTGGGACAAGGCGGGAGAGGAGGGGCCTGGCTTCCCAGAACTATGGGGAGAGGGAAGTGGGAGTGCGGGGCTAAAGGAAGGGGACTTCCTAGAAAGAGCTTAAGGTTGTATGGACTAGGTTGTGTAAGGATGGGGCTCCCAATTAGCCTAGGGGAGGAAAGGTAGTTACTTCCAGAAGACTTTCAGCCTTCTTCCTACCCTCCAGGAATTTAGTCTTGAATGCTCCGGCTATGTGGAACATGGAACTTTCCCCGCCACCCCACAGTGTGCACCAAGCCACCAGCCTATGCAAGGAATAGGTACAGGGAGGGCCCAGATATTTGTAAGGAAAGGAAGACCTACCCTGGATTCTGTAATTCGTGCCCACAGATGAAGGCAGTCGTGAAATGGGCTCCCTTCATTTGACTGATCTGGAGGGCCTGCGGTGGCTAAAAGGGGCTGCTGCCCTGTGTCCTTAGCTTTAGGAAAGGGCTGTGATGGGGGCGCCTGGGTGGCTCAGTGGGTTAAAACCTCTGCCTTCCGTTCAGGTCATGATCCCAGGGTCTTAGGATCGAGCCCCACATCCTGCTCTCTGCTAAGCGGGGAGCCTGCTTCCCTTCCTCTCTCTCTGCCTGCCTTTCTGCCTAATTGTGATCTCTGTCAAATAAATAAAATCTTAAAAAAAAAAAAAAAAAGGCTGTGATGGCCGACTTCTGGGTCATTAACCTCAGCCCCCAGGATGTTTTGATACATGAAGATTGATACAGTAAACTCCGCTCCCACTGGGGCTGGGTGGTTTGGCACAACCCAAGGCTCTGTTCTTGCCCTTGGGGCGTAAGTGCTCCTAGTGGCAAAGGTGGTGGCCACCTGCCTCCCACGGGTTTTCAGGAAATGGGCAGGAGGCACGAGAGCAGGGAAGGGAAAGCGAGGTCACTGGGCCTGGGGTGGTGCCGAGAAATGGGGCGGACCTTGGGGCGCGCCCGGCGACTCCCTGCCCTAGGGAAACCAGTGGGACACAGGGAACCGTGGAGGGCTGGGCTCTGGAGGGCGGCCGATCCGCCCACTGCGTCCCCACACCCTACAAGGCTGGCGGCCCCGGGGCCGTCCGCCTGCTGCCCAGATCTGGTGACCCAGCGCAGCACCCTCGGCACTCCGCTTAGCCTGGGGCGCCCTCGCGCGGCGGCCTCGGAGCACGGTGCAACACCACAAGCCCCGCCCCGCCACCTCGATTGGTTCCGGAACCAAAGCCCCCGGGGTCGGCCTCCGAGGACGGCCTCCGAGGACGGCCTCCGAGGACTGGCGCCGCCGCCGTGCGGACTGATCCCAGTCCCTGGCTCTGGCGCTGCTCCGTCGGCCCCGCCCCCCTCGCTACGCCGCGGCCGCGCGTGCGCACAACAGCCGGGGCGGAGCCAGCTCCGGGGTCGACATGGCGGCGCCGCAATCTTGTGCGGATGGTCCGTGCTGCTCCTGGCCGGGTGCAGCGTCCGGCGTGCAGCAGACGCTGGACGAGATGGACTTCGACAGGGGTGAGACTCCCGGCTCTCTCCAGGTCGCTGGACAAGGAGATGGCAGAGAAGCGGGACCCGGAGGGCCGCAGTGGGCGTGATGGACGTGTGGGGTGGCTCACAGCCCCCGCATCACTGAGACTCCGCCAGGGACCTGGCACGAGCCCGGCCACTAGAAACTTGGTCTCGGGTCTAGGTTGGGAAGCCTGGTTTCAGTAACTTTTCCAAGTGGTGGGGCGGGGCCCGGCCCCTCAGCTGGTGCGCCCCCGGGAGGCTCGGGCCCGCGCGGGTGGCTGGGCGTGGGTGTGGGGTGTGTATGGGGGCGATGTCAGAAAGCAGAATCTGCAGCCGGGGTACTGCAGCCACCCCGAGGGCATGGAGCTTCAGAAGGGGGGTTGCGCTGCCAAGGAAACCGACGTGCCGACCGCCGTGAGCCCTGATGTGGCAGGCCATGTATGCTTTAGATATGGCACACCTGGCCCTCCACGCCGGTGGTGATCTCTCTTAGCTTTGGGGCCCGGAGAGGTAACTCCTTTACCCCACACTCTAAGGAGATTATATCGCCTGTAAGGAAAAGAGTAGAGCTGAAAAACAAGTCCGCTCTTCCTCGGAGGCTGTGTACCGTGTGTCAGTGCAGAGGCAGCTTATGCAGTAATAACGTTTTCATCAGCCCTGGGTGGATGCTACGGTTTTATATGCGTTCTGATCTAACTTACTCTTAAGGGGCTCGTGCGCCAGCTTACCTCCCTTCACATCGCCACTCTCTGGGCTCCTGAAGCAATTCCCTCCTGGGCCTTCCTCCTCGCACTGCTGCCCTCCTCCAAAGTTTTCTACTCCACACAGAACCCAGAGTAACCTTTTGAAGATATTAAATCAGATAATTTCATTGTTTTCAGAATAAGTTCAGATTCCCTTCATGGCCCACACAACTGTGTGATGTTCTTGCTGCCTATTCTACTTCTCTGCCCCCACTTTATTTCTCAATCTTTTCTTTCTCCACTCACTATGCTTCGGCCACATTGGGCTTATTTTGGTTTCTGAGACATGCAGGATCTCTTTATCACTTAAAGCCATGGTACTTGCTGTCCCAACTCCTTGGAATGAACTTCCTGCAGCATTAGGCTAGCTAATGCTTTTCCTTCTCGTCTTGGTTCAAATGTCACCTCCTCAGAGAGAGGGACCCTGGACGCCAAATTATGGTAGTTCTCAACTTAGGGGATGGGCAACACCCCATTCTAAGTAGTTCTCAGTTGAGTGGGAAGGGTGCAGTTCTGACCCTTAAAGGTCTTTGGCAATGACTAGAAACAATTTCAGGTGTTAAAACTGGGAGGGTGCTATGGTCATATAGTAGGTAGAGGCCAGGGATGCTGATCTGCGGCCTACAATGCACGGGACAGTTCCTTGTAACAAAGAATTAACTGGCCTGGGCTGCCAGTTGTGCAGCTATGGAGAAAGAAACCTTGCCCTGTTCAAAGTAGGGCCCCTTCCCCTCCAGGTTTCTCTATCACCTTGCTTTCATCAAAGCAGTTTTTACAACCTGATGCTACTTGGTTTGCTTACTCATTATTTCCCACACGAGGGAAAGATCCTTATCACGTGGGCTGCTTTTTTTTTTTTTCCCTTCTTCATATCTTGTCTCTGGGTTCATTTCCCTTTCACTAAAATATATCCTTTGAAAGTTTTTTCGGTGAGTATGATTCTCCATCTCTCTCTCTCTCTCTCTTTCTCTTTCAACTGGTAGCTTACTTAGGTATAAAATTCTAGACTGACAATGTATTTCCCCCCCTCAGACCTTTGGAAATGTTATTTATCTTTTTTATCTTCTACTGCTGTTAAGAATTTCGCTGGGAGCGCCTGGGTGGTTCAGTTGGAAGAGCGAGTGATTCTTGATCTCAGAGTCATTGTGGAGATTACTAAAAAAATAAACTTAAAAAAATCCTGATAATCTGATTATAATTCTTCAGTGACTAATGAGCTTTTCTTTTTGGTAAGTCAGATGTTCTCTCGATGCTTGATGTTTGGTCATTTTACCATAGTAGATAGTTTGTCTAATTCTCCTTGGGATTTAATGTGGTTTTCATCTGAGAGCTCATGGTTGTCTTTACTTGAGAATAATTCTCAGACGTTATCTCTTAAGACATTTCCTCTCTCCCATTCTGTCCAATTTCTCTCTTTTCTGTTGTTTGAAACTCCTGTTACACATATGTTGGTACATTCTGCCTTTCATGTTTCCTTACCTCTCTTTAATATTTTTCTCTTTACCATTCTCATTCTTGGTGATTTCCAAGTCACTCATTCCCTCCCTGGTGGGTCTGCAGTACTGCCCAACCATCTGTTATTGTTTTATTTCAATGATTCTATTCTTTTTAATTTACTGACTTTAAAAGTAATCTCTACACCCAGCCTGGGGCTCGAACTCATGACTCCGAGATCAAGGGTCACATGCTCTACTGGCTGAGCCAGCCAGGCGCCCCTGACTTTTGTTTCAGATCTCCCTGTCCTTTTTTTTCCCTCCCTCATGTTCTGTTGATTTGTGGATTGTATTCCTTTTTCTTTGTGAACACATTAAGTACTGTTTTCTTTTAGATTGTGCTCTTATGGCTCATTTTGACGTATGCATTTTTCCATTTGTTGTATTTGCTCACTATCTCATGTGGCGGTGGATTACTTCTTGTTTTGCAGCTTTTAATTTTTGAGCTGTCGGGGTTGCGAGGGGGGCGGTCTTCTCTTGTTAGAGATTATCTGCAACAGAGCCACACCTGTGTTGGCTTGTGGAGGTATCCTCATAGGACTTTTTTTTTTTTTAAGATATTTATTTATTTATTAGAGAGCACGCTCACAAGTAGGCAGAGAGGCAGGCAGAGAGGGAGGGGAAGCAGGCTCCCTGCTGAGCAGAGAGCCCGATGCGGGGCTCTATCCTAGGACCCCGGGATCACGACCTGAGCCTAAGGCAGAGGCTTTAACCCACTAAGCCACCCAGGCGCCCCCATAGGACATTTTTTAAAAGTTGCTTCTGTGCAGTCCGTATAGCATCCACTTGACCTATTTTTATGACAGATCCTTAGCTTGTGGGTCTTGCTCCCTAAGGCTTTGAATAGATATAAGTCCCCTTGTACAGTGATGTATGTCAACTCTTTCTCCATAAACCTGGAAAAAATATGCAGTTAATAAAATTTACATGACGGGAAAAATGCAAAAACAAATAAATATATATCCCACATCTCCAAGTTGAGTGGGTCATGGTATCTGATTTTTTAGGTTTCTTCTGCCTTTGCTGTCTTCTCACACCTATTGAAATGGCGCCTTTCTTATTTCCTTTGTTTCTCTTCAAATGTCATCTTATCAGAGATGCCATCCCTGACCACTGCTTGTATCCCTTCTCTGTTTTATTTTTCTTCATAGCACTTAGCACCACCTGACTTATTTCATTTTTTTTTTTCCTTATCTGTTTCCTTAATTAGGAAGTAACCTCCAGGGGCACCTGGGTAGCTCAGTGGGTTAAGCCTCTGCCTTCGGCTCAGGTTGTGATCCCAGGGTCCTGGGATCAAGCCCCACATCGGGCTGTCTGCTCAGCAGGGAGCCTGCTTCCCCCTCTCTCTGCCTGCCTCTCTGCCTACTTGTGATCTCTGTCAAATAAATAAATAAAATCTAAAAAAAAAAGAAAAGAAAGTAACCTCCAGGGCACCGGGGGTGGCTCAGTGGGTTAAAGCCTCTGCCTTCAGCTCAGGTCGTGATCTCAGGGTCCTGGGATCAAGCCCCACATCGGGCTCTCTGCTCAGCGGGGAGCCTGCTTCCTCCTATCTCTGTCTGCCTCTCTGCCTACTTGTGATCTCTGTTTGTCAAATAAATAAATAAAATCTTTAGAACAAAAAAAGAGAGAAAAAGAAAGTAACGTCCAGGGTTCCTTGGTGGCTCAATTGATTAAGCCACTGCCTTTGGCTCAGGTCATGATCCCGGAGTCTGGGGATCGAGTCCCGCATCAGGCTCCCTGCTCCGTGGGGAGTCTTCTTCTTCCTCTGACCTTCCCACCTCTCATGCTCTCTCTCGCTCTCTCTCTCAAATAAATAAATTAATTTAAAAAAAAGAAGAAAGTAACCGAAGTAACCTCCATGAGACCAGAATTTTGGGGGCAGCCCTGGGGATTGGGGACCTTTAATTCTTGGCTGACCCTAGTTCCCAGAACAATGCCAGATACATGATAAGTATGTAGTAAATACTTGCTGAGTGAGTGAAGTGCATGGGCCTGGCAGCTTGCTTTCTGCTGCTATTCAGAACAGGAAAGTAGAAATTTTTCCAGGTCCGGTTCATGCATGAGGTGGTACTTCTGCCTCCCAGCTTTGTGTACAGAACTTTGTTGTGTCTCTTCCTGGCCATGCACGTGACCTGCAGCCTTTGCTCCAGACCCTGCCTAGTTGTTAAAGCCAAAGCCTCTAAGGTGTGTGTTCATTTACACAGACTTCCAGGATTCTGCAGGTGGACGCCCTGCTCACCACTTTGGCTATGGTTTTCACCTTCTTTTGGCAACTGGCAGTGTCCTTTTCTTGCTTTTGAGTTTGCTTCTATATTCAGATATTTTAAACATTACTTTATTTAATATTTATGTGTTTAAAACGGGAAGAAGGGATTTTTTTTTAAATTTTTTTTTTAAAGATTTTATTTATTTATTTGACAGAGATCACAAGTAGGCAGAGAGACAGGCGGGGGGGGGGAAGCAGGCTCCCCGCTGAGCAGAGAGCCAGATGTGGGGCTCGATCCCAGGACCCTGGGATCATGACCTGAGCCAAAGGCGGAGGCTTTAACCCGCTGAGCCACCCAGGCGCCCCGGGGAAGAAGGGATTTATGTCTGCCCAACCATACTGTCCTGATTCGACAAAGCTCCTGTCTGTCTTGTTCACAACTATAGCACCAGCTGCTAGGACAGTCCTTAGCACAGAGATCTCAGTTAAACTTTTTTTTTAAGATTTTATTTATTTATTTATTGATGGATGGATGGATGGATGGATGGATGGGAGGGGCAGAGGGAGAGAGAGAATCTCAAGCTGAGTGCTGAGCCTGACTCTAGGCTCGATCCCAGAACCCTAAGATCATGACTTCAACCCAAACCAAGAGTCAAGAGCTCAACTAATTGAGCCACCCAGGTGCCCCTCAGTTAATATTTGTTGAATGAATAAATCCCCATTGTATAGATGAGAAAATAGAGGTGAAGAGGTAAAGGAAGCACTGAAAGTCTCTAGTCACTTGGCATTATTCAGCACTTCAGTTGTCTCCACAGGAATCTGGTCGGCAGCCCTGAATGGAGACCTGGGCCGAGTCAAATATTTCATCCAGAAGGCAACAGACCCTAGCCAGCCCGACTCGGCTGGCTACACTGCTCTGGTGAGTTGGGGAGGGAAACCGGCACTCGGGATACCTGCTCTCCGTGCGGAAGGGGTCATGTTGCCTTTAGTTCGCCCTTTCTTCTCTCCCAGCAGGTTTTCAGTTTTAAGCACTGTGTGAACCTTGTTCTTGGTTTGTTTGTTTCTTCCTTAAGTATTAAGTGCTTTATATCATTTATTTAATTTCATTTACCTAATAATCCTGTGAGGTAGGAATGAGTATTATCCCCATTTTCCTGTTGAAGAAACTGATGCTAGAAATGAAGAAGCTTGGCTAGGTCCCATGGCTAACGGAGGTAGCCCCTTAGGTCATTGACATCCTCTTGCTCCAGAGCCCATGCTCTCACCCGCCCACCACCCTTGTTGTCTGCCTGGGCTCTGCCATCTGACCTCGGTCTCTCTTCCCTGCAGCACTATGCCAGCCGCAACGGGCACTATGCCGTATGCCAGTTCCTGCTGGAAAGCGGGGCTAAGTGTAATGCCCAAACCCATGGGGGCGCCACAGCTCTGCACCGGGCCAGCTACTGTGGGCACACTGAAATCGCACGGCTCCTGCTGTCTCACGGGTCCAACCCTAGGTTGGTGGATGACGATGGCATGACGAGTCTGCATAAGGTATGCTGCCCTCCCCAACTTCACGAACTTGGTTATTGTCATTATAATAAACGTGATAACACGTTCACTGTAGAAAACATGGGGAAAGCAGAAAAGCACTTGCGATGTCATTGCTTACCAATCATCACCTGAGGGTTAATGTGTAACAGGCCAGCATTTCCCCTGTGCATGTAAATTCGAATTAAATGTACAGCATCATTTTTTTTCTTTGCTTTCATAATCTGTCATGAATGCTTTTCCATGAAGTTAGTTTTCTGAAGCTCACACCTACTCAAGCCTACCCCTGTAGCCCGCTTTCTGTATGGTAGCCAGGGTGATCACTTTAACTTTCTTCTGACCAGAAATTCCTACACATTGTGAGGAGTTTAAGGATACAAAACAGTGCATGAAAACATTTCCCTTCCACCCTGACCCCTGGTCCCTCAGTCTTCCAAGGACACCCTGCTCAAGGCAGGTGATTGCTTATGTATTTTAGAGAAGTGGTTTATGCATATTTTTGGCATATATCTGTAAATGCATTCTTTTTTTTTTTAATATTTTATTTATTTATTTGAGAGAGAGAGAGACAGTGAGAGAGAGCATGAGTGAGGAGAAGGTCAGAGGGAGAAGCAGACTCCCCGTGGAGCTGGGAGCCTGATGCGGGACTCGATCCCAGGACTCCAGGATCATGACCTGAGCTGAAGGCAGTCGCTTAACCAACTGAGCCACCCAGGTGCCCTGTAAATGTATTCTTTTGTGAATTTTAAGAGAAAAATTTAAGTAGTTGACTGTATGATGTATGAGGAGAATCTGTGGCAGATGCTTTTTGCGGTCCACCGAAAATTTGTGCCCACTCTGTCCTATTAGAGACCTGGCTCTCAGACAGTGCTCTATAATCACACTACATTCTACTCTCTCTAGCATCTCGCATGGCCATTTCTCAGCCACTAGAAGACAAGACACACCAATGAGCTTTTTTCCAGGAGGAGAGCGATTAGGAGCCAGTGTTCCTACTCCACACATTCTCCTCGGTCACCTCAGGCAGGACGGACACCTAAAGGTTGGCAGATCCTTGGCAATCAACTTGGACTCCAGAAAGGTGCTTGCTCAGTGACAGCAGCCTTGAAATGTTACCCCCACAAAGATAGAGTTCTTATTTTTATTTATTTTGTACTTCTGACTATTGAATAATACATATATATTTTTTTTAAAGTATGATGGGAATAGGGCTAACACTTTGGTAGAGACACTAGTAGAGATATTTAAGAAATATAGGAAGACTGGGTGGCTCAGTCGGTTAAGCATTTGCCTCATGCAGGGTCCAGGATGTCAGGGTCCTGGAATCGAGCCCCACGTCAGACTCCCTGCTCAGCAGGAAGCCTGCTTCTCCCCCTGCTTTTGCACGCGCTCTCTCTCTCCCATTCCCTCTGAGGCACAGGCACACCTTAGAGATAGGCCGACCACCATAATAAAGCAAGTTGGAGGAGTTTTTGTTTCCCAGTGCACGTGAAAGTTATGTTTATCCTATACTGTAGTCTATTTAGTGTACACTAGCATTATGTAAAAAAAAAAAAAATTGTTGTATGTACCTTTTTGAAAATACTTTCTTGCTAAAAAATGCTAACCATCATCAGACCTTTCAGCAAGTTGTAATCTTTTAACTGGTAGAGGGCCTTACCTCGATGGGGATACCTGCATAGGGTATCAGGGAGGTCAGGGTAGTAGTTGCTGAAGGTTTAAGAAATTGCTGGGGCACACTGATTCTTACAATAAGACAGCAGTGAACTTCGCCACATTGATTGACTCTTCCTTTCTACTTGAGCGCTGAAAGGCCATTGCAGGGTTATTAATTGACTTACTTTCAGTGTCGTGTTTCTGGGAATAGGGAGCCATGAGGAAGAGAGAAAGACTGGGAACAGGTGCCAGAGCAGCAGTCAGGACACAAGTTTATAAACGAAGTTCTCTGTCTAATATGGGTGTAGCTCCTGGCATCCCAAAATAATTACAGTAGTAGCATCAGTGACCACAGATGACAGATACAATGATGATGAAAAAGTTTGAAATAGTTTAGGAGTTAACGAAAATGTGTCCACATATGAAGTGAGCAAACGCTGTTGGGAAAATGGCACCTATAGACTTGCCCGGTGTGGGGTCGCCGCAGACCTTCAGTGTGTAAAAACAGTGTCTGCACGGTGCAGTAAAGCAGAGGGTAATAAAATGGGGTGTGCCTGTGTAGAAAATAGTCCCGACACAGGAGCAGAGTGGGACGGTGGTGGCCAGGGCGGTCTGGAGGTGCCGTTGAGCCGAGTGTCTCTGAGGTGAGTAGATGAAGCGCAGCAGACGACACCGCACCTGTGGGTGACCGCGCTGGGTGGGGCATGTAAGTTTGTTAGGAATGGCGCGAGCCCGGCTGGGTCAGTCAGTAGAGTATGGGGCTTGTGATCTCAGGGTTCTAAGTTCAAGCCCACATTGAGTGTGGAAGGCAGGGGGTGGCTATTATTAAACAAAAGCAACAATTACCAAAAAATTATAAGTAGATTGATTTGTTAAGAGGTCAGATCTCATATGAAGTGTTCTTATAACGGTAAGAAGTTGGGTGGGAGGGTAATTCAAGGACCAAATTAATTTTTAGGAAGCCAGATGTGACTATTTCACGGACCAAGGATTTGCAGATACATTACACTTGTTTGCATTCATGGGAAGATGTCAGCATTTCCCTCCTCCAGTTTCCTTCTTTCTTTCTTTCTTTTTTCTTTTTTTTTTTTTTTAGTTAAGCCATCCCTGTGCCCAGCATGAGCTCTGTGCCCAGCGTGAGGCTCAAACTCACCACTCCGAGATCAGGACTTCATGTTCTTCCAACTGAACAGCCACATGTCCCTATCTTCATCCCCTTGTCTTTTATCCTCAGGCCAGTTTCTTGACCCATCACGGTGATACTCCAGAGCCTTATGTGTCATGCTATCCCGGTCCAGATGCCTCTCCCCTCCCAGTCTTCACCTGGCTTGTTGCTGTCCTTTCTGGATCTCAGCTTCTGTATCACACCCTCAGAGGGCCTCCCTGTTCTCAGGCGTGGGTGGCTTCCCCAACGGCGCAAAAGCACCCTGCACTTGACTTCTCGTAGCTTTTCTCTCTCTCTTTTTTTTAATTTAATTTAATTTTATTTTATTTGACAGAGATCACAAGTAGGCAGAGAGGCAGGCTGAGAGAGAGGGAGGAGGAAGCAGGCTCTCTGCCGAGCAGAGAGCCCAATGCGGGGCTTGATCCCAGGACCCTGGGATCATGACCTGAGCCGAAGGCAGAGGCTTTAACCCACTGAGCCATGCAGGCACCCCAGCTTTTCTCTCTCTCGATTCTGTATGAGCTCTTTCTTCTGAGAGATAGCGAAGACTTGATCTTGTTCACTGTGGTGGCTCCAGCTCTCAGCACAGGTGCCCAATGAATATTTGCTGAGTGAACAACTAGATGTCATTTTATTTTCTTTTAAGATCCTTGCTAGCTGAAGAGGCAGATTGCTGCTTTCTCGATGGTCCACACTGGTGTTGCTGGGATGGTATAAGTCCCCTGGAGGGTGTGTACCGGCGGGACACTGTGCGCCTGGTGCTGGCAGGTCTTACAGCCTGAGGCCTTCTTGCAGTCTCCAGCCCTTTCGTTCAGGGGATGCAGATGTGGAAGGAGTTACGAATTCTCTTTTTTTTAAAAAATAAGCTACTTCGAAACGTTGGTACCTTTTCTTGTACAAAATTCTTTGGACTTCATCTTGCATCTCCCCAGAATGCACCCCAGAGCTGCTCGCAACATACCACTGCCTGAATTGAGGCAACAGAACTGGGAACCTTATGTCTGTACTCACTAGGAGGACTGGCTAAATATCTGGATTCAAATTTGAGGTGGTGTTTGCTACTAATATTAATTTTGACACCTCTCAGAAACCCCCATGCTGCATCAGTCTGACTGTTGAGAGGAAACAGAGTGGTGTAACACAGTTGTTAAGAGTCGAGACGTCAGGCAGTCAGACAGACCTGGTTTAGGATCCCCAGGCTGCCACACAAGCTCTGTGACGCTGGCCAAGTCACTTACCGTGTATGAACCTCGGTTTCTTCATCTGTAAAATGGGAATGATGATAGTTCCTACCTCTGATGGTTATTATGGAAGTTATATAAGCTAATCTGTGTAAATCCCCTTAATCTTTTCTGGAGAAGGTAGGTCAAAATTGACATCCAAGGGGCGCCTGGGTGGCTCAGTGGGTTAAAGCCTCTGCCTTCAGCTCAGGTCATGATCCCAGGGTTCTGGGATCGAGCCCTGCATCGGGCTCTCTGCTCAGCAGGGAGCCTGCTTCCTCCTCTCTCTCTGCCTGCCTCTCTGCCTACTTGTGATCTCTGTCTGTCAAATAAATAAAATCTTAAAAAAAAAAAAAAAATTGACATCCAAGTTGGGATAGTGTATTTCAAAGGAAGAGGAGAAAGCCAAGTACCTGAACCCATTTTTCTGTGCTCATCTGAACACTCCTGGAGGGCAGAGGCTGTGTCTGGTATATCTTGTGCCTACGGTGCCCAGCTGATAGAGGACTGAACATTTATAAAAGATACTTAGAGATCCAAGGTTCTATATTTGTTTTTGTTTGTTTAAAGATTTTATTTTTAAGTAATCTCTGCACCCAGCATGGGGCTCAAACTCACAATCCCAAGACCAAGAGTCACATGCTCCATCAGCTGAGCTGGCCAGGTGCCTGTCTATATTTATTTTTAATGTGCAAACCTGGACAGAGAAGAATGGCTGCTGAGCAGAGAACACAAGAAAGAAAAACTCAAGCTAACTGCCAGGAAAAACACTAGATAATTCCACCAATCTTTATGCAAGTTGTTGGACTTTGGTAGGAATTAGGGGAAATCTATTTATTTTTAATTTTTTAAATATTTTATTTATTTAAGATTTTATTATTTTGAGAGAGAGAACACAAGCAGGGGGAGAGGCGGAGGGAGAGGGAAGAGACTCCCCGTCAGGCCAGGACCCGGAGATCATGACCTGAGCCGAAGGCAGACACTCAGCCATCTGAGCCACCCAGGTGCCCTGGAATTAGGGGAAATCTACTCAAATAGCCAGTGTCTTCCATTTCCACAAGACCTGTTTTAGGACCAAGAGATTCCCCGAAGTGGAGCAAGAAAGGGCAGGGCCCAGTGGGATTATGGCTTTTGAATCCGGCATCTTTCTCCACAGGCTGCTGAGAAGGGTCATGTGGACATTTGCTCCCTGCTCTTGGAACACAGCCCAACCCTGAAGGCTGTCCGGGATCGGAAGGCGCGCCTAGCATGTGACCTGCTGCCCTGCAACAGTGACCTGTGGGACCTGCTGGCCACCTGAGCCGCCACCTTTCTGTCTTGGGCTGCCATGCAAAGGACCCAGACTAGCACTCCTACCCCCTGTCTTGGTGTGCATCCGTACTGCAGGGTGGGACGTTGAGACCCGAAGAGCCCCATTCTGGCTGCTGTGGGAGCAAGGGAGTAGATGTGGGGCTGCAGGTGCTTAAGCCTAGACAGATGATCATACTCTAAATTAGCTCATGTAGAAACATCTATCTTTTTGGAAAAATAAAACTGTATCCTTACCTCATCCCGTGCACAAAAATAAACTTCAAGTAGATTAAAGACCTAAGTATAAAAGCAGAACTATGTAAGTATTAGAAGAAACTGGGGGACATCCGACAAAAGCTGCTTTCTAGCTGAGTGCCCTTGGGAAAGGTCACTTTGCCCTTCTGCCCCTGGTTCCTCATCTGTGGTGAGGATGGTTGTAACAGGGCCTGCCTCAGAGGCCTTGTGAAGGTTAGATGAGTGAGTAGATAGAGGGCCCCGGAGTGTGTCAGAGCACCCACTTCTACTTTCTTCGATTTTAACAACCTGATAGATTGAGTGCTTTTGCTTTGTTGTGCGTTGCTAGTGGCCACCTACCTTCTCTGAACTTTCTGTCCATACATGTGGCCTGTTTAAAGATTTTCTTCCTTTTATTGATTCATAGGGATTATATATTCTGGATATTAATCTTGTTTATATATGTGTATATGAATATATTTTTGTGTGTGTATATATATATATATACATATATGTTTTTCTTTCTTACCATCACTTTGTTGGTGTCTCTTCATGGAAATTGGTACATCCACCATAGACAGGAGTTTGGCAATTTCTATTAAAATTTAGGTGAGTAGGGCTAATAATTTTGATTTCTCTGTAGCTACCTAGAGAAATGTCCACGTGTACAAAGATAGTTATTTACAGAGACATCTACGGAGTTGTGCATTAGAGCATGTGCTGTAGTGTAAGGAAGAAAGGAGGTAAGCTAAGTGCTCCCAGCGAGGGAAATGATTAAATTCTGGTACAGGAGTCATTGGAGTACAGTGTAGACTAGTGCGGAAAGGGTGCTGAGTTGCAGTCATAGTATGACACCTCTTAAAACAGGTCTATGGAAGCCGGCACGTACACGCACACGATTACAGGGAGCAAGTCGGGAGGGTGTATTTCGCCGGCACCGTGGTGGCCCTGGGTCTGCTGTGGTCAGAGGGCTTTGTCAGGAGCATCTTGAGCTTTGTTACATTTGGGTTTTTGACAAGGAGTGATTTTTTTTGTTAAGAATTAATACCAGTCAATTTCCTGTGAAGAAACTAGTTTTCTGGTGAGAATTTCAGATGAACCCTGTTGGTGCAAAATGCCCTTGTCCTTGAATGTTGGAGAAGAGGAGTTGTAGTTGGCGGACTGGGGAGTCCAGAGCTGTCTTGCTTTTCTTATTTACCCTCACTCTAGTTTAGGCAACTTTCCCTCTTCATAACCAACAGTAAGAAAGCATCTTTGACCAAAAAACCCTAACACATAAGGACTGAGTTTCTTTTAAAAGCTCTGGATTCCCTAAGTCTCAAAACTTGGATGCATTTACTAAGAAGGCAGCTGTGGGTGGAACCATTCCCAGAGCTTCAGGGCCTGGGCTGTCCTTGACCTGTAGTTCTCCCTCCCTCTCCTTCTGGTCATCCCTGGTCATGCAGCTCCCAGTTCTGGAGTCTTACTATCAGGTTTCCTTTCAAAGGTCAGTACAGAATTCAGGGCATAGCTGGGTGAAGATATGCTGGGCATCTTAAATGAGGAAGTTTGGTGGCTTGCGACAGCTTGTTTTGTGACTAGATTAACATTACGTACTTGGACCCAGAGCCGATCTCAGTCCAGCTTCTCTGTGGGATGGCATGTTCCCTGCCCAGGAGAGCATCGGGGAGGAGACCTGCATGTGTGGGGCATGGAAGGCTTTTCAAGGGGCGGGAGGTGCTGATGACAGGCTGGACTTGGCTCCTGGCCAGGGTGTAGTTTAATACGCCGGCTCTCGGAGTGGTGCGGGAGAAGCGGGGGACGCCAGGAGCAGGAATGCAGCAGGAGTATGGAGGGCAGCCTTGAAGCTGTCTGGGAGCGGGGAAGCTGCTTGAAGCCTGATTTCCTCGTGTAGGTGCCATGGGGATTCCTCACGCAGAGCTCATCCTCTTGGCCTTTCCTTCCCAAGGTCTTTCAGGGTCTCAGGCGCTGAGACCTGTGGCAACATGGAGGCTCACACTCGACATTTTTCTAGTGGCCCAGGCACCCCCCCGGCCTCGTTTGTTGGTCGAACTGATGAGCAGGTGTAGAGGATAGCACAGGTGCAGGAGAGTGGGTGTCCGAGGGTGCACCTGACTCAGCCCAGGGCGACTCCTGCCTTCAGCGGGCTGCACGCCCACACTGGTATTTTGGTCCGTGTTACAGAACCACTGAGCTATCTGGCCCAGACACGAGCCCCTGGTCGGCTCTGCCCCCAGGAGACTGCTCTCTATAAAAGGGCTGAGCAGCTCAGCACCTCTCACTGGGGGCGTGAAGAACAGGGGGGGGGACCATGGATATCATCAGCATCCAGCAGTTGGTAAGGACATGCAGCAGGCGGTGGGAGGCAGGTGATGGTCTAGACGTCCCCAGGCCAGCCCAGCAGAATGAGGAGGTCCTGCAGGAGGCAGGCAGGTGGCTGCGTCCTGGGGTCAGAGCATAGGTGCAAGAGCGGAAACATGCAGTTGCTTTCTGCTGTGTCCGGTTCTGTGAGGCAGTGAGAGATGGAAGCAACGGGAAGATACCAGGTGATAGTGTGGACATGACGACCATTGAGTTTAGGACTCTTGTCCTGGACTGGGGGGGGGGGCAGAACAGGAAATAACAGGCTACTTCAGAAGACAGGAGCGTGGCCGCAGGGTGGGATTAGCTGCTGCTATGATAGCTGTTGCTCTGGAAATGGTCCAGAGGGTCTGTCTACTTTGGTCGGGGAGGAAGAAGGTGCTCTTGAGTTCCCTGGGAGTGATAGAAACAGTCACACCGGTGACACTTTGGGGTGTCTGTTTTGGTGACGTGGGGCCCGGGAGTCACGCTGGCCTGCAAGCCCCACCATGGTGGGCTGGGGCCTCAGCCGACCCCGCCTGGTATAGCTGCTCCCGGGAGGCAGGTTGCCAGCATGTACTATAGAAAAGAACGTAGTTTGTTTTCCGTGGCTGGACGCCCTAGGCTCTGCCATCCTATCATTTCTAGCCTTTTCCCTCTCCTCTAGCGTGCTTGTTCATCAGTGCTCCCCAGCTCCTGAACCCCTGGTGGGGCAGGAAGGAAGAACAGATCACCGTATGGCAGGTTCTGCCCCGGTTTCCTCCTCCCAGCCCCTTGAGCGAGGTGCTAGTTTTACCCCATTGAAGTGACAAAGAGACAGAGCTTCATGAGCTGAGATTTGAACCCAGGAATTCAGCATTTTACCCAGGAGGCATCTCTGTCCCTCTGAGCTCAGGGTCAGGTGGCAGTATGGCGTGATCTGGTAGGAATGTAAGGACAACAGCCCAGGAGGGAGGCCGAGGTGTCACCTATACTGAGCGTACCTGGACACAAGCCCAGCAGTATAAATAGATGTGGTGTCATGCCCCGGACCCTGTGTCCTGCTGACAGGACAAGGTAGGCGGCAGTTATCCTCCTGGGCCCCGGGCAGCACTAGAGTGGGTGAGAGCCAAGAGCCACAGGCATCGGGGGGCATGCCAGCAGAGCGCCAGGAAGCTTTGCGAAGGCTCAGGCCACTCTGGCATCCACAACACTAATCTCTAGGTCAGCTCTTGTCAGGATGCCTGTACTGCACAGCTGTGTTTTCTAAGGCTTCCTCATTTTTCTGAGTCTTTATCCTTATCCTGCTCCTACAGGTATGTGTAAACAGGGTTGGAAGTAAAGTGTTGGGATGTGGACATGGAGTTCCTGATCCTGGAGGTGGGCCCGGGGCCTGGAGGCCCAGAGCCCAAGAGGCCGTGGCCCAGGAGCAGTGGAAACTGGAAGAAGAGAAAAAGAAGAAAGTGAGCAGCGGTGGGGATGGGGGGCGATGGGTGCCGACCCTGGGGCGGACAGGCTCTGAGCAGTGAGGACCTCAGGTGGCTGGGGTCCGTCTTGTAGGTGGGAGAGACAAGGGCCGGACCCGCCAGGAGCCTGCCTCCGAGGCTTTGGCGCCCAATGGCTGACCGCTGGCCTGCTCTTGTGCCTCAGCTTGAGAGATTTAACAGCTCCAGACTCAATCTGGAGACTCTGACTGACTTGAAAAACTTGGTTCAAAGACGGAGAGAAAAGCGACTGAAACGCAGAGTCCCCCCCAGGGCACCTGAGTCCATGGTTAAGGTGAGTGGCAAGTCAGGGCCACGTGGAGGGGTCAACACCTGGGGCTTGAGTTTGTGTGGAAGCTGCTTCGTGTCCCCGAGGGAGGGCTTGGGGAAGAGCGGATGCTGTCGGGGCCTGCTCAGCGGGAGGCTCCGATCTGGAGGCCCCACAGCCCTTGTGGCTGTTTGCTGGGGACCACACACACAGTGGCTTAGACAACAGAAATGTATTCTCCCAGTTCTGGAGACTGGAACTCTGAGATCAAAGTGATGGCAGGGTTGGTTCCTTCTGAGGACTGTGGGGGAGAATCTGTCCCCGCCAGTCTTCTAGCTTTAGGTGCTTGGTGGCCGGCTTCGGTGTTCTTCAGCTTGTGGGTGCATCGTCCTGATCTCTACCTGAGCTCACATGGCACTGTCACTGTGCACGCTGTGTCCACTTGTCCGCTTTCATTAAGGACACCAGTCATACTGGATTAGGGCTCCCTTTACTCCAGTGTGACTTCATTTTAATTACAGCCATGATGACCCTATTTCCAAATAAGCCCACATTCTGAGGTCCTGGGGTTGGGACTTCAACAAACTGCGGGGGGGGGGGGGGCACGGCAACCCATGATGGGGATAGTAGATGCCTCGACAGTCCGAACTGGCCAGGGGGTGGGGGTGGTTAAGAATTATGGTTTGTACCAGCCGCAGACCAAATGTAGTCCTCGGCTGGCTCTTGGGAGCTGCTTGGCTCGAGTGGTGATGTGGCAGTGCCCCAGAGCCCTGCGGTTTGAGAAAGTGATTTGGTCTTATCTTCTAACATACCCAGCCGCAGCCCCAGGCCCAGCCGGAGTCTGTGGACCTGGAGATGTTCCTGAAGGCAGCTGCAGAGAACCAGGAGGCCTTGATTGACAAGTACCTGACAGATGGAGGGGACCCCAATGCCCATGACAAGGTAAAGTGGGGGCGGGGGGGGACTTGGACTGCAGTGTCTGAGCTGCTGGGGTGCCACCCTCTTCGTGTTCCAGTCTCGGCCTGTTCTGCAGCCCAAGCCTGCGGTGCTTCCTGAGCTGGGAATGGTGGGGCCCTGGGTGTGAGCAGGGAGGGAGCAGATGCGTGTTCCGGGAACCTAGTGCTGGGAATAGGACCCAGGAAGGGCCTGCAGGGGGCAGCCGTGCTCTCTTGCCGATCTCCCATCTCCACCCACAGCTGCACCGCACAGCCTTGCACTGGGCCTGTCTGAAGGGTCACAGCCAGGTGGTGAACAAGCTGCTGGAGGCAGGTGCCGCTGTGGACGTTCGAGACTTGGTGAGAAGCAGGGAGGGCCCATCCTCACGGCAGGGGCCCTGTCCCTCACCCTAGCACGCCCGTGCATGGATACTTTTCGTCTTGCAGCTGGACAGGACACCCGTGTTCTGGGCCTGCCGTGGAGGACACCTGGACGTCCTCAAACAGCTGCTTAACCAGGGAGCCCAGGTCAACGCCCGGGACAAGGTGAGGCGTATGCGGCTGGGGATTGGCCTCATCCCAGGAAAGAGAGCACGCGGTCCCTCCACCCCAAGGGTGACACGGATTCTCACCCCCCAGATTTGGAGCACCCCCCTGCACGTGGCCGTGCGCACGCGACACTGTGACTGCCTGGAGCATCTCATTGCGTGTGGCGCCCACATCGATGCCCAGGACAAGGCAGGCGCTTGCTGTTTGGTTTGGGTCTGCTCCACCAGGGGGCCTGAGCTCTGGGGTGCTCCCGTGGACTGTCCTGTGCAGGGGTGGGGGAGTCAGGAGGATGACCCCGCCCTTTCCTGGCAGGAAGGGGACACAGGTCTGCATGAGGCGGTGCGGCTCGGCCACTACAAGGCCATGAAGGTGCTGCTGCTCTATGGAGCCCAGCTGGGTGTGCGGAACTCGGTAGGAGCCTGCAACCCGGCCCCTTGGTCTACGGAGGGTGGGGCCTCTGAAGGAAGGACTGACTGACCCACGGTCCTTGTTCCCAGGCTTCGGTGACCCCAGTGGAGCTGGCACGAGACTGGCAGCGGGGCATCCGGGAAGCACTGCAGGCCCATGCAGGCCACCCTCGCACTCGGTCCTAGCGAGTGCAGCCTGCAGGGTCACTTCTCAGCCACCATTCCACCTCACCTCACCTTCCCCTCCCCTCCTCATGCCCTCACGGTGATCCTCAGCCCTCAGGCCAGCACTGCCCAGCAGGGGACAAAGCCGGCCTCCCTGGTTCTCCACCAGGCTGTGCATGAGGAACGGCTGAGGCAGGGGACCCCAGAGAAGCAGGACATAGCGCAGGTCCAGTTGAGGAACAGTGCAGGAGAGTGGCGGTCCAGGTTGGAGCAAAACTGGAGTCCTGAGCCTCGAGCTGCCCAGGGTTGGGCACTCGGCGTCCTCCGATCCTCCCTCCACAAGGGCCGGTTTCCCGCCTGGTGGGGCTTTCAGGCTACAGCTGCCATCCAGGCCACATCGCTATGGCACGCTTCTGCAGCTGACCAAGACCCTCCTGGCAGGGGTTTCTCAGGGACTCCATTCCTGTCAGCAGCAACCCTGACAGCAGGTGGAGTGGCTCTAGCCTGCTCTGACTGTTGGGCTTCTGGAGTTGGGTCTGGCCATCAGGAGCAGGTGCCCAACAGGGTTAGGCCCCCCTGCAGGCCCCGTCTGGTACCAGCCCAGTTGCCTCAGAAGCCCTATGGCTGAGCAGCTAGAGCTCGTGTTTGTTTTAGGGAAACCTCGTGCCTACGGTCTGAAGGCCTTGGTCAGCCTGCCTGCTGCTCTCTAGTTGGCCAGCTGACAGCGCTCCTTGTAGGGGTGAAATGCCTGGGAGCTGGGGATTGCTTGCGGCCCACCCAACTCTTGGGGTGGCGGCCCGTAACCCTACTTTGCCTCAGGCATCACCTAGCACTAGAACTTGAGTTCTGGCCTGGACAGCAGTCGCACCTGCTTGGCTTCCCCCCACCGCTGGGAGAGGACACCGAGGCGCTAGTGGCTCAGCCCCAGAGGGGAAGCAGAGGAGACCAAGGGGCACACCTGCTTCCCCCCCCCCACGCTGAGTGATGGCAGATTTAGGACCCAGACTCACCCCAGTTCTCAAGATTCCTTCCTTCACTGCCTTTTCTGTTTCACATCACACTGGTGTAGACCCATACTGCTGGCGGGGCTGGGTCCTGAAGTGGCAGAAAGTGAATCTTAAGGAACTCTGCCCTAAATGGAGAACCGCAGGCTGAGGGACCGGCTTTAGATGCAAGGTCAGCCTCCTTCCCATATGTAAAGTGCCCATATGGACATCCATTTTGCAGCAGTTCCTTCCAGTCTAACACTGGCGGCCTTCTTGGGCCAAGCACAAGGCTATTCTGTGAAAAAGCGACTACAGCTCCCACCGGGAGCCACACACCTTCTCTTCCGTGGGCAGCTCCCACCCTGCGCGGAACTGTGGTGACAGTTCCCCCCCGGTGCTGGAGCCGTAAGAGAAACAGGTTCAAGTTCCTGGAGAAGACATCGCCCCATCTAGAAGATGGGGACCCTTATGTGACAGACAAAAACACCTTTTTATACACTTCAGTATTTTTTGTTCATTAAAACTGTTGACTATCCATCACAGCCTAGTTGTCTGTCTGGGGGGGGCAGCAGGCATTAGGCCCAGGGCCTGGTCTTCCTCAGCAGCAAAGCTCAACCTGTGAACCACACTGGCCTGACAGCAAGATAGGCCGGCAAATGCGCAGTGGGGAGTGCAGGCACTTGGCTCTGTGCTCAAGGCAACTCTCCACTCAGTGATGGACTAGTTCAAAGAGCAGTGGTTCTCAGCCTTGGCTGCTCGTCACAGTCACAAGGGAAGGTGTTTAAAGTCCTAATGTGCAAGCTAATTCAGTCAGTCTCTAGGGGCAGGACCCAGGTAAAATTATCATGCAGAGGACATACCTGTCTACTTAGGAAATCCTTAGGAATGTAAAAAAACACCTAGAATAATGGAATTTGGCAAGACTTCGGGATAGAAGATAAACGTACAAAGACCTATTTCTATGTATTAGCAATAACTACATGAACACAAAAGAGCACAATACACTTAAAGTTGCCTTTAAGAACACTTAGAAGTAACTCTAACACTTAAGGACTTGTATGTTGAAAACTACAACACACTGATAAATGAAGTCAATGAAGACTTAAATAAATGAGACCTACCTTGTTTGTGGATTAGAAGATGAGATCTAGTAAAGATGTCTATTCTTTGTTAAATTGATGCACAGGTTTAATGCAGCTCCAACCAAACAACCCAGCAAGATTGTTTTGTAAATTTAGTTAATAAGATGGTTTAAAAACTCATAGCTAAGGGGTCCCTGGGTAGCTCGGTTGGTTAAGCATCCAACTCTTGAATTTGGCTCAGGTCATGATCTCAGGGTCCTGGGATCAAGCCCCACATCAGGCTCCCTGCTCAGTGGGGAGCCTGCTTCTCCCTCTCCCCTGCCCTGTGCTCTCTCACTCTAACTCAAACAAATAAAATTTTAAAAAATAAAAACTCATAGCTAAAACAATTTTGAAAAATAAAGTGGTAGGAGCCAGTCTACCCAATTTCAAGACTTATTATAAAAGCTCCAGCAATTGGGGCACCTGGGTGGCTCGGCGGGTTAAATGTCTGCCTTTGGATCAGGTTCTGATCCTGGAGTCTGGGGACTGAGCCCCACACTGGGCTCCCTGCTCAGTGGGCAGTCTGCTTCTCCCTCTCTGCTCCTTCCCCTTCTCGGTCACTCTCTCAAAAATTTTTTAAAAAGGTTATTTATTTGAGAGAGGATATGTGCACAAGCAGGGGAGGGGCAGAAGGAGAGGGAGAAGCAGGCTCCTTGCTGAGCAGGGAGCCTGATGCAGGGCTCCACCCCAGGATCCTGAGATCAAGACCCAAGCTGAAGGCAAATGCCCAACCGACTGAGCCATCCAGGTGCCCTCAAATAAGTAAAATCTTAAAAAAAAAAAAAAAAAAGGCTACAGTAATCAAGACAACATGGTATTAATGGATAGACACAGATCAACAGAACAAAACAGACAACCCAGAAATAGACACAAATATGCCCAACTGATTTTTGACAAAGGTGTCAAATTCAATAGTGGAAAGCCTTTGCAACAAATGGTGCTGGAGCAACCAGACATCCATAGGCTTAGAAAAAAAATAAGAAAAAACCTTGACTTAAATCTTATACAAAAATTTAAAAACCCTCAAAAATTAGCACAAAGAGGGACACCTGGGTGGCTCAGTTGGTTAAGTGGCTGCCCTCGGCTCAGGTCATGATCCCAGCGTCCTGGGATTGAGTCCCACATCGGGCTCCTTGCTCAGCAAGGAGCCTGCTTCTCCCTCTGCCTCTGCCTGCCGCTCTGTCTGCCTGTGCTCACTCTCTCTGACAAATAAAATCTTTAAAAAAAATTAGCACAAAGATAAAGCATAAAACTATACAAATTTTAGGAGAAAAAACCCTAGGAGACAAACTTTGGGACCTAGGAGTAGGTAAAGAATAATTCTTAGACACGATACCAAAAGCATAATCGGTAAAAGAAAATTGGTAAACTGGACTTTATCAAAACAATTTTTGGGAGACCTGGGTGGCTCAGTTGGTTAAGCAACTGCCTTTGGCTCAGGTCATGATCCCTGAGTCCTGGGATTGAGTCCCATACCGGGCTCCCTACTCAGCAGGGAGTCTGCTTCTCCCTCTAACCCTACCCACTCCCATGCTCTCTCACTCTCAAATAAATAAAATCTTTTTAAAAAATTAACAACTTCTGCTGTATAAAAGATCCTGTTTTAGGATGAAAAAAATAAGCTACAGACTGAGAGAAAATATTTGCAAGCCAAAAACCCAACAAAGGAATAGTAGACTATATAAAGAACTCTCAAAACAACAGTGAAAGACCATACAATCCAACCAGAAATGGGTGAAGAACAATAGTTATTTCACACAAGCAGCACATGAAAAGATCTCCATCAACCGTTATGTTAATACAACTGGAAACCACAATGAGATCTCACTATACACCTACCTAAAAATAAACTAAAAATAAACGGTGACAACACCGAATGCTGGTGAGGATTTAGAGGAACTGGCTCACTCACACATCACTGGTGGGAACACAAAATCGTACAGCCAAAGGCAGTGTGGCGGTCTCTTTAAAAAAATCAACCATGCAATGACCACACAACCTCGTAACTGTATTACTGGACATTTTCCTCAGAAAGCCAACGTTAACACGAAAACCTGTAAGGAATGTTCGTAGCAGCTTTATTTGGAATAGCCACCCAGACGTCCTTCAACGGGACAGTGAGCATACCAAGGAATACTACGCAGCAATCAAAAGGAATGAACTACCGACACACGCAACAACCTGGAACCATCTCTGGAATATTCTGCAGAGTGAAAAAAGCCAATCCCGAACTGGTGACTGGTGGGTCACACACTGTATACAATGTTGTTGAAATGACAAAATCTTAGATTAGTGGTTGCCAGGGATTGGGGATGGAGACCGTGCGAGTGGCTGGGGTTCTAACAGGGAGCTCCGAGAGAGACCCTTGTGGTGGTGGGACAGCTCTACTGAGAGTGCAGTGGCAGCTACACAAATCTACCAGGAGGACAGAGATCGATTCCTCACACTTGGCCAGCGTCAGCTTCGTGGTGTTGATACTGTGTTCTAACTGTGCAAGAATAACCATGGAGGAAAACTGGGTGAAGGGTCCCTCCAGCTTGCAACTTCCTACAAATCTGTAATTGTTGCAAAACAAGTCAGAAAAGAGTAAGCAGTAACTCTAAATGCAACTTGGTGTCCTGGATTGGATCCTGCAAAGGAAAAAGGACGTTACTGGAGAAACGGGTAAGATCCAATGAACTCTGTAATTCAGTTCACGGGTTTGTACCGATGTTAATTTTTTTAGTTCTGATAGATGTACCAAGTTATGTAAGATGTTAACATTAAGGGGAGCTGGGTGAAGGGTAGATAGAACTCTTCACTCTTATGTACAATAAAATGGTTTCAGAAGTGCCGGGCCAGCTCAGTCGGTAGAGCACACGACTCTTAATCTCAGGGTTGGGAGTTCAAGCCCCATACTCGGTGTGCAGGTGACTTAAGCGGAAGGGAAAAAAAAAAAAGTATAGTTTTTTTTTTTTGTTTTAATTAAAATTGTTTGAAAAAATAAAATCCTGATCCTCAGATTAACCAAACCAGGCTCCCTCAAAGAGAGAGCCCCAGATATCAGGTATCAGTATTTTTCAATTTGCCAGGTGATTCTAACATGCAGCTAAAGTTAAGAACCACTGTTCTAGAGAGAGATGATCGTAAAATATGTTTCCCACCTGGGTTTGCTCCTAGAATTCCTTGAGAAGTCTCTAAGCGAGCATGCCATTGTTCTTTGGCCTTCATTCCCACTGGTCCCAGATAAGGGACCTAAATTCCTCTGAGAAGCCTCTAGAAGTCCTCCTCCCTCCTATCCAATCTGCAACGCTATGTCTCTGTGACGCCCCAGTTTCTACACAGTTGAAGAACTGCAGGAGGTAAGAATGGGTAAACCAGAAAGAAAACATAAATGCCTTCTTGTTCCCAATCCTCTAAAACCTGTAGCTAAGAACAGCAAAAAAAAAAAAAAGCAAAGAGCTGAAATGTTATAGATACAAGAAAAACCAATGAGAGTTTTTGTTTTGTTTTAAAGAAAGGGGATGAGGCTCTACCTGCTCCACAACCAACCCTTCCCCTCCTTGCTGCTCTCCATGCAGATGGCAGCCACCCAGCTCTCCACGGAGGCCCAGGAAGGAGGTACAAAGTAGGCCTAACGGTTGGCTACACTCCCCGGGATCCAGCAATTGAGAGGGTTAGGGGCAGCACACCCCGTCCTCCCACGTGTGACCTCTCTTCTTCAAACACAGAAAGTGACAATACTGTTAGTGGCAACTAAGTAAGACAGGCAGAGAAGCAGAAGGAACAGGCCTCCTCAGTGCCACTGGGGGCCAGCTTGTTCGCTTGGGGCTCTGAGCACAGAACTCAGAGAAGTAACCTCCATGGGAGGGAGCAGGACAGTGGGACATACTGGTGGGTCACTGAGCTTCGAGGTTTGGCAAGTGAGACAGGCTGGGGCACACGCTTGGAAACATGGCATTGTAAGGGAAGCCAAATAGTTCACTGTGGCTAAGGATGTGAACCCCCAGCCCAACCTAGTGCCCCTGGTTTGCTCGGAAAGTGCTGCCAGCAGCAGAAGGCTGGCAAATTAAAAGCGAAGTGAGTACAGGTCACAGCCACATAAAGGCAGTAATCGTGCACTCACATCATGGCTTGGCCCAAAGAGGTATAAATACACTGCACGGTCACGGGGAGAAGGCTGGGTCCTGGGGACCAGAGAGGACGGTGTCCTTTTCATTCCCATTCAGAAGCAGGCCTGGAGGGCTGTGCCCCAACTGACCCCCATTTCCTAAAGGAGGGCAGGACTGCTGAAGGCTCCCGGCACTGAAGTCTGGTTCTGAGGACAGCCCAGGACCCACATCTATAAGGGCCATCTAAAACGTGGCCTGGAGGGGATGGGGACAGGCTGACAGGAAGCTACTCCTCGGCTCTCCAGTTCCCCACGTGCTTGTCCATTCCCCAGACCTGGGGCTGCCTGGCAAGCAGTTAAACCCCTGGGTTCCGCCCAGGGCTCTCCTCTGCTGGGAGGCCGGGTCTGCTGTGGTGCGGCCCTAGAGGAGAGAGGAAAAGGAGAATTAATATCAAAGCCAGCGAAGGAAGCAGGTCCCATCCAAACCAAGTATCAAAACTCTCTTCAGGACAGGAGGGGCTGGCAAGGCGGAGGAGCCGCAGGATACCTCAGTGCCAAGGCAGAGCTGGGAGTGAGCAGGCAGGAAAGTCGGCAGGCTAACTCCACCTCCCAAGAGAAAACCACTGGGAGGAGGAGGGCTGCACTGGCGAGAGGCGGGAAAGCAGGCCAGGGGGTTTCTGCTCACAGGAGCCGGAGGCCATAAGGCTGGGTGAAAAGAAGCCTGCCAGGGACACGAAAGGCCCTGCCCCAAAGGAAGCTGTAGTTTCCACCACTGAGCAGGTTCTTTCATGACCCCGCCTGTCTTTTAGCAAGTGAGATGGAAAGTAGCAATGAAGGACAAGAAGGGCCCCCTCACCACCCACCCCGGGAGAAACACCTCCCTGTCTGGGGGCAGCAGTGTCCAGGGCCCCTCCCGGCAGCTAGAGGGATGGGGAAGGAAAGCAAAGGAAAGGGAAAGGGAAGATATTTACCTTGGGTGTTTTCTGAAAACAAAAAATGCTCACTAGTCCACAGTCAATTATCAACTGCAGTTTCCAAATGTGCCAAAGAGGGAAAGGTCTACGGGGAAGGCTAGAGAGAGCAGAGGGGAGAGAGACAAGAGGAGACCAGCTGTGCAGCTGCGCCGGCAGGGCAGCTCAGCTTGGGCAACCCCGCAGGCTGCTGAGGGGGGGCAGGCGGGGGCCAGACAGGTGTGCCCCCTGTGGCCCGAGGCTCGGAACCAGAGGGAGCAGGTAGCGCGACATCTGGAGTGGACTCTCCTTTGGAAATCAGCTCTGGGAATGGTCATTGTGCAGGAGCTATGCTGAGTCTGACATGATGGGCCAGGGGTCCAGGAACCTTCTGCAAAGGGCCTACATTTTTAGGTTTTGCAGGTCTCCATCCCTGTGGCAACAAGTCCGCTCCACAGCCGTAGCCAAAGGCAGCTATATACAATCCATAAACAACCGGCCAGTCTGCCCATCTCCGCTGCAGGAGTTACAAATTTCCCAAGCATCTCAATTAAGGCATTTCTCTGCCAGCAAATCCGGTGCCCAAGTCAATTAAGGGTGGTTCCGACCCACGCTATCTGAGCAGTGTTCCTGGCGACATCACAAGCGCAGCGGCACGAAGCCCTCCTGGGGGCAGCACGGGCCACCAAGCACAGATGAGCCACTGACACGAAGACCCTCTCGGCGGGGGCCACCAAGCACAGATGAGCCGCAGCAGAGCCTCAGAGGGCTGAGGCAGGGAGCGGGAGGACGGCAGGCCAGCTGCTCGGGAGACAAATATCCGGTCTCGAATGGGGGAAAACCAACATCCTGACAAAAGAATGAGATGGCAGTGCACTACGCTCAGCATAATGGCCTCGGATAAATGTCACTGGCAAGAACACCGCCCCCAAGCGGGTAAGCCATTGCAGAGAGGCAAAGGACCCACAGGGCCACTGCAGGTCATGCATCTCCCCCGCCTCCCGACAGCAGAGTGCTCCCATGAAATCTTGTGTAAGCCAGCACGGCATAAAGCAAAGAAACAATTACCATTTCATAAAGCAAAACTCTTCTTCAGAGTTCTTTCAGTTAGTGAAAATGGGCACGAACCTAAGTCTTTTGTAAAAGCAAAGTGGTGCAAAGAGAGCTTTCAGGGGACACCTGTGTTTCCTCAGAGAACCGCCCAATGAACGGCTGAAGCCCAAAAAGGACCTTAAAAAACTGCGTGTATAATAAAGGATAAAATGAAGGAAAAAACCATCATTCTTAGATTTTAAGTGTACACCTTGAATAGAACACATACAGTCTGAATAAGCAGATGAAGGCAGAAAAGATTCACATTGAAAAAAAAACAACAAAACCAAACACATTTTGAAAAAACAAAAACATACTGACTTTTGAGACCCAAGTCTAAAGGGATGGTTTAAGTGGCATCTCACAACAGAACATCACAGCAGGTAAATACAGAACCGTGATCAGTCCTAAAACACAGAACACCACTTCTCAGTACACATTCACTGAGAAGGCCCAGATCCAGAGCTGGAGCAGCATGCCTCAAGTTGGGACCCCCTTTCACCAGCGCACAGAGATGGAGCACTCAGGAGCTGAGCCACTCACAGGCCTGGGGAGGGGGTTCCTGTCCCTTGCACCTGCACATCTCCTCTCAGAAAGCAGGCATCATAAAAACACGTTCGTGGGGGTGCCTGGGTGGCTCAGTGGGTTAAGGCCTCTGCCTTCGGTTCAGGATCCCAGAGTCTTGGGATCGAGCCCCACATCGGGCTCTCTGCTCAGCAGGGAGCCTGCTTCCCTTCCTCTCTCTCTGCCTGCCTCTCTGCCTACTTGTGATCTCTGTCAAATATATAAATAAAAAAACAAAAAAACAAAAAAACAAAAAACAAGTTTGTGTTCTCAAGGGTGGGTCTAAGTAACCAAACCCTATGTCTGTGTCCCTGTGACACACCAATGCCCAGAGGTCAAGGGCATGCACAGGCTCCAAGCCAGGGTGCCTAGGTCTCTGCTTCTGATTCTTCATCTGTAAAATGGGTCTAACAACTACCACCTCTGAAAATGGACAAGTTGTCTTAGACCAATGAGGACGAGCAAAGCTCCTAGTGTATTGCCAGGGAGAGCTAGCGTTCAAGAGAGCTCGGTATCCCCACTTCAGAGTGCCCAGGGCAGCGGGCAGCCTGCAGCTCCTTCCACAGCCTCTCTGGAAGCCCCACCCACTGCCCCAGGACCACCCAGCCTTCAAGTGAATCTCTGACCCCAACTTAGGAGCTCAATCAGAATAAAAGTACCTTCCTGAGTAACAAGGCAACCTGAACTTTTTAGCACTCCTACCCAAAGCCCACTCTCCACAAGCTCCTTTTTATTTTCCCTCCTTATAATCTACAAGGCAGGGTTTGCTGGTCCATGCCCCACCCCACATTACAAAGTCTATTTCTTCCAAGGTGGTATCTGGCTCACAGTGGAACCCGAGATGTGAGGGACAGGCCTTGTATGTTAGCCTGACCTGACCAAACACCGCAGCTGCTGCCCTTCTCAGCTCCTGGGATGGTGTCCGCTAGCCAGCCACCTTCGGAGCCGGGCCCACTGGTGACCTACCCCCAATCCTAACTGACCAAGAGTGTCTGAACTTGATCTTATTCCCATTCAGTACCTGTTCTCTAATTAAGGCAACTCATCCTAACAGTCCTCCAGAGAAAATGCTGACTGAACATACTTTCAATGCCAGCTGGTCTGTGGTGCAGTGTCACTGGAGCTACTAAGAACAATGAAAAGAGAAAAAGGAAAGGATGGGCAGAAAAGGGGACAAGAAAAGAGAAACACAAGGCAGAGTGGGGGCAGAGAGTGTGTGTGGGAGCGGCAAGGAGCGGGAAAGGACGTGCCTGCCCTCTGGGCTGCCATACCGAGCGAGGGATGTGGCCTTGCGGGGCTCACCTGCTGCTGTGGCTGTCTTGTCCCCAAGGAGCCTGGTCTGGCTGCCTGGGATGACCTGGAGGTCTGCGTTCTCCGGGGACTGTGGCAGGCTCTGGGCTCGAGTAGCCAGGAGTGCATTGAGGTACTGCAGCCTCGTGACCTGGAGAACAGAAAGCATTCCCAGGCAGGTGCAACTCGCGAAGCCAGGTGGAGAAAGTGAGGTCCAGGAAGGTCACATGTCTCCCTCCTGCCCATAAGCACCAGAACTAGGTAGGAGCATCACATTCGGTAGGATCAAGAAAAAAGAAGAGCTTCAAGCCAGCTAAAGGCAGAGAAGAGCAATCAAGCAGTGTCTTCAAGATCTCAAAAGGAAACTGGGTGCACAGTCCCCGCGATGGGACTAGACTACCAGAAGTCAGAGGGACTTCCTGGAGCCAAGGACGTCTGTCCTTCAGGGCAAGACTTGCTCTGGCATGTCTCAGAAAGACTCAAGCAGAATTTACTCTTAATCCATACAAACTTTGTAGCTGGCTGATTTAGCCCCTTAGAGACACAAAGCTGGCTAACAGCCAGCACCAATGAGCAGCCCAGACAGTCACCTTAATGAGCTGCAGGTCGGAGAGGGCCCTCACGGTGTAGTCAGGACAGTACGCAGACAAGCGGGCACCATCGACTGGCTCGGGCTGCAGGTCGTGGCGGAGGGACTGGAGCGAGGACACCGGGGACTGGTGAACTAGCAGAAGGAACAATCAGTGATGTCTCTGGTGGGGACAACTGCACCGTCTCGAAGATCCACCCCACAGATCCCTCTGGGAGGGAACATGGCCACAAACACAGAAAAGGAGGGCAAGCAACAGAGAGCCCCAAACATACACTGCCCGCTCCCTCGACACAGCCCCAACAGGAGAAAAGCCAGCCCAGAGTCCCGGGCCCCGGGGAGCCAGGAAGGGCTGCAGCTTACCCGAGGATGGTGCTGTCAGGGCAGACACTCCATAGTAGGTGAAGGCCCCATTCTCGAACTTCAGGCCCTCTTTCCCGATCTCCACCTCAACCCTGCCCTGGGAGGTGTAGGGAGAGGGAGGAAGGAGGGGCAGGGAGAGAAACAGATGTGGACAGATTACCTTTCCTGCCAGAAGAGAGCACAGGGAGAAAGCACCAACCCCAGTTATCCAGGGGGTGTGGATGGAGACGATCCTCCCTCTCAAGCCCTCCCCTACTTTCTGAGCAAGTGGGGGGCTCCAGCATGGGCTGGCAGTTACCTGTAGGATGAGAATGAAGTAGTCCACCGGCTGGCTGCGCTGGTACAGGTAATGGTGAGCAGCTAGACGGTTGCTCTCATCAAACCTCACTTCCTGGTTGACGCTGGGATGCTTCAGCAGGTGCAGCAGGACCTTCTCGGAGATCCGCAAGGGGCTGAACACATCCACCTCTGCCCCACGGCGGAATAAAGGGACCGTGTCCATTGGGCCCAGGGTGGCCTGCATGACTACACCCGACTCCTGCTGCCCTGAGCCAAGTCACCTCCCCAACACAAGAGTACTGGGCAGGCCACACCCACTCAGGCCAAGGCTCCCTGCCATGGCCCACCAGAGAAGACACCAGCCTAGCTCCTGCTCTCAGCCCAGTCATGAGGAGCTGCCCCCTCAGATGCCTGGAGATGCTGGCGGGGCTAGAGAGAAGCAAAGAAGTTCTTCAGGATACTCTCCTCCTTACTGGGAATGAGGGCCCTCGGTGTCTGCCCTGGGGGCCTCCTGACCCACTGGACGTGAACAAGAAAGCAAAGGTTAACCCTTCACCCTCACCTTGGGACAGGAATTGCTGGGTGGCCAAGAGTAGCTGAGGCGAGATCTTCACTTTATATTCATCATCAGACACCTTGAACAGGGAGAAGTCCTCTTTCCGCCTGAGAGGGGCACTCAGAGGAGCGGGCTTCTTCCTCACGGCAGAGTCTCCTAGGATGGTGAGAAGGCCCACTGAGGCACAGCATCCCTCCAATCAGCATGACCAAACGAAGGCATGGTGCCAAGGCCTGGGGGGTTCTCAGTAGGGGAGGCAGCATCAGAGCCCAGGGATACAGCCTCAACATGCTGCCTGCTGGGGCTCGGCGGCCACTCCCAGCACGGAGCAAACCTGGCACTCAAGACAGAGGGCACAGGCCTTTACTCCAGCTATAGCCTGAGGAAGTACGGGAAGGGACTGCTCCTCTCTTCGGAGCTGGGAAGGTAAACACCAACAGGACAGCAAGGCTGCTTTAGAAAGAGCCACAGTTGGTCACCAGAAACCATATCTTTGCAGATTACAGAGGCTACACAGCAGCGGCTAACCTGACGTCCCCATGCTTATGGCAGTCTGAAGAGCCAAACTCAAGAGGCTGCATTTTGGGGACAGACTCTGGGCAAAGCAATTACTTGACAGTAAACAGAGTTGGGGGCGGGGGGTCCTGTCCCAAGAGTGCACGTAAGGCCTGGGCCATCAAGCACAGGCTCTGTGTCTGCCTTGCAGACCTCAGCCATCTTCCTAAGAGGCAGACACCTCTAAGGCACAATCACAGGCCCCAGGATCTTCCGTTTTGTTAAGACTGTCCAGCAGTAAAGAATGGGATTCTTTGAGGAGAGGCTTCTGCAATGTAGGAAAGAACATGAGAAAGCCAAAAGGCCAAGGAAGATGAGAGCCTGGGAAAGGCCCATAAAGGGCAGAGGCCCCACCCACCAGGCCACTGCGGCTCTGCCTCCAGGCACAGGTTGGGGCCCTCCTGCAAGGAGGCCATGTTGGCCCCCTCCCTCGAACGCCCGGCTAAGCTCAGACTGGAGATCCAGCCTTGTGTCAACAACACGGAGACCTACTGTCCTCTGAGGTTGATGAACACCACACATCTCAGCAGGCCTGACAGACCAGTTGAGATGGAACAACACCAGGAGTCAAAACTCACGGTAGTCCTCAGACTCGTCCAGGATCTCAGACTTGATGATCTCCTCAATGACGTCCTCCAGGGTGACCAGGCCCAGCACCTCGTAGAAGGGGTCACCTTCACCCTCGTTGTTCACCTTCTGCACGATGGCCAGGTGGGACTTCCCTGGGGGAGGGGACGCTCAGATTACAACTGGTCGGGGGGCCTCCCATTTTGCTTAGTCCTACCTGGTACGAGCTCATCGGAGTGACAGAAGCTGGTGTCTGTGTTCCCACAAGGTCCCACTAGGTACCAGGCACTAATGAGATTCTCCCTAAGTTCTTACCTAAGACTGTCAACACACTCATGAGGATGAGCTTCCCTTTACACATGAGGACCCTCCATCTCAGGCACTGTGGTCAGCTGCACAAGGCCACCCAGGCAAGGGCAGCGCCATATCAGCCTGGGTCCACAGGAACGCGATTTAGATAAGGATGGTCCGACCAACCAGATGAGGGAGGGCTGCACGCACAAGGGCACTGACTCCAGAAGCATGGGCTCCCTTGGGACGGCCTAAATTGGGTGCAGGGGCAGAGGGGCCACGCAGTGACTTTCCTGGGGAAGTTTCCCCAGTTCTGAAAGCTGTCCTTTATTTCCAGAAGCCAAGATCTATACAAGTCATTCAGGGGAAGACGACAAATGGTGAGCGGCCAGTAAGAGCCCAGACGGTGTGGGAGTAGGAGCTGCAGCCTGGAGCTGTTCACCTTCCCCTCCTTCAGGTGAGCTTCCTGTTTGTTTCCTTGTCTGGTCAAGAAATAGAAGTATGAACAAAAACCCAAGCTTCAGAGTGCTGGGGAATGTTGAGAAAACTTCAAGAACTGACTCTGCTTTTCATCTATAAAACTTTATACCTGCCCAAAAGAAACAGAATGGAAACTACATATGCAATTTTAAATTTCTGGTGGCCACATTAAAAAAAAAAAAAAAGACACAAGTGAAATTAACAACATATTATAATTAACTCTATATAGCCCTCAATATCACTATAACATGCAATCAATATAAAAATATTAGAACAGGGGCTCCTGGGTGGCTCAGTCAGTTAAGCATCCAATTCTTGATTTCAGCTCTGTTCATTATCTTAAGAGTTGCAAGATCAAGCCCCACATCAGGTTCCACACTCAGTATGGGGTCTGCTTGAGATTCTCTGGCCTCTTCCCCTCCCCCTCCAGTGCATGCTCTCTCTAATAAATAAAATCTAAAAAAATTAAAAATATTAAAACAGGGGCAGCTGGCTGGCTCAGTTGGTAGAGCATGCGACTCTTGATCTTGGGGTTGTAAGTTCAAGCCCCATATTGGATATAGAGATTACCTATAAATAAAATCTTTTAAAAATTAATTAATTTAAAACATTTTTAAATTTAGGGGCGCCTGGGTGGCTCAGTGGGTTAAAGCCTCTGCCTTCGGCTCAGGTCATGATCTCAGGGTCCTGGGATCGAGCCCCGCGTTGGGCTCTCCGCTCAGCAGGGAGCCTGCTTCCCTTCCTCTCTCTCTGCCTACTTGTGATCTCTGTCAAATGAATAAATAAAATCTTTTAAAAAAATAAATAAAATAAAAATAAAAATTTTTTTTTTAAATTTAAACATATATTTTTTTTGTACTGTCTTTGAAGTCTGGCGTGTGTTAGGCACTGCTAGCACATCTCAGTTCAGCCCAGCTGCCTTTTAACCCCATGTGGGAAGTGGCTGCTCAATGGAGTTGTGCAGGTCTAGGATATGAACCCTGAGAAACTCATCTCGGCCATGCCCTTCATTATTTTTTTTTTTTTTTTTTTTTTTTTTTAATTTTTATTTGTCAGAGAGAGAGAGAGACCACAAGTAGGCTGAGAGGCAGGCAGAGGCAGAGGGAGAAGCAGGTTCCCTGCCGAGCAAGGAGCCGGATGTGGGACTCGATCCCAGGGTGCTGGGATCATGACCTGAGCTGAAGGCAGCCGCTCAACCAACTGAGCCACCCAGGCGTCCCATGCCCTTCATTATTAATGAAAAAGGTTTTGGGTAAAAGAAAGCCTGGTATCTACTTCAAGAATCTTTTGGTAAAGCGAAAAGTCAAGTTCACTTCTTTGGGTCAATTATACTTTATATACCTTGGGTTTAGTTACAGTGTAGTGAACTTGAGTTCAGAAACATAGTCTCTTGAATGAGGCATGCTCTGCCTCATTCTTTCAGCATCCACGCCCCATGCCCCAGCATCAGGTGCAGAAAGACCTCTGCTCCAAATTAGGTAAAATGAGAATGTCCAGTCAACCAAAAACCGTTATTATTAATAGACCACTGGCCAAATGATCAAGAAAGGAATGAGGGAGGGGTGCCTGGCTGGCTCAGTTGGTGGAGCATGCAACTCTTGATCTCAGGGTCGTGAGTTCAAGCCCCATGCTGGGTGTAGGGATGACTTAAAAATAAAATCTTAGGCGCGCCTGGGTGGCTCAGTAGATTGGGCCTCTGCCTTTGGCTCAGGTCATGATCTCGGGGTCCCGGGATCGGGCCCCGCATCAGGCTCTCTGCTCAGTGGGGACCCTGCTTCCCCCTCTCTCTCTGCCAGCCTCTCTGCCTATTTGTGATTTCTCTCTCTGTCAAATAAATAAATAATTCTTAAATATTTAAAAAACAAATAAATAAAATCTTTTTAAAAAAAGGAATGAGGCTCTAGAAAAGAAAAAGAAAACATTTAATGTATTTCATCAAATTGAAGATGCTGTCAATTGTGAGGCACATCCTGATTGCAGAAATGTTGAAACGCAAAAAGCAACACACCTCTGAACTGAAGAAATGTGGCACAAATGTGCCTACTGTGTGTTGGCCACTAAGTGCTGTATTCATTTAACAACTTACTGGGAAGAGAGTATTATTCCCATTTGCAGTCTGCCAAGAAAACTGAGGCTAAAGAGAGCTTCAGTGACTCACCGAAGTGCAAAACTGATTTGAACCCAGGCAACAGGCTCCTGAATGTGTTTTTTCTTTTCTAAGATTTTACTTATATTTTATTTATTTGGCAGAGAGAGACAAAGAGACCATGAGCAGGAGGGAGCAAGGGGAGGAGGAGAAGCAGCCCACACTAAGCAGGGACCTCCCCCAACGCAAGACTGGATCCCAAGACCCTGGGATCACGACCTGAGCTGAAGCAGACGCTTAACTGACTAAGCCACTCAGGAGCCCTGAATCCATTCTCTTAACCATCACATTTAACTCACGTTCACTGGAGAACAACAGACCAAATCTTAGGAGACCCTCCCCTCTGGGTGAGTTACATTGGGCTAGGGTACTGTCTCCAGCCCAGAGGCCCTTCTAAAGAAAGTACTGTTCTTCAGGATGCTCTAACATGTTCAGACAAAAATTAAAGGCAGAAATACTGCACTGTCTTCCCCCTTTCCAGGAGAAAAAGGCCAGGGGTCCCCAAGAACTACCTGCTCATTCCTGCTGAGACAGAAGTACTGAATGAACAACAGCAGCATTTCCAGATGCTTCCCATCCCTGGGTATCTGTGCTGGGAATGGCTCACACCGGCAGACAGGGCATCACTTCTGTGAGGGCCAAGCCGCGCCCCCCACGTGATACTAATCTGTCAGACTGGATGAGGACAGCCGAAGCTCGACATACAATTTTGGTCAGAATCTGGGAACCAAAGCCCAGGTTCTAGATGACCGTCTAAGGGCAGAGAGAATCCATTTCAGCTGCATTCTTCCAGAATGCCAGCCCCTCAAGCAGGTTACCCTCAGAAGGGACTAACTTCTCCCCTGCTTTCAAACTTCTGTAAAACAGGCACAAGTCTCTCAGTGACCTGCCACATGGGGTAACTGGATAACAGACGAAAGCGGAGCCCCTGAAAGATCCCCCGACACAGTGGTCATGTGATTTCATCTCAAGACAGAATGTCTGAGGGGTCGAGACGGCAACCATGAAAAAGCAGGAGGGCTACACAAAGAACAGGCAGCTGGAGGGATTAAAGTTTATTTCTCATCTGATGGGATACAATGCTCTGAAAATACACGGGCCCCTGGCTGGCTGACTGGAAACACCACAGGCCCCAGGACAGGTGCCTACAGCTCTCCCAGAGCACAGAGCCTCAGGTTAAGGGGCAGATGGTGCATCTTAACAGCATCAACCAGAAAGCCCTGAAAAAGCTCTACAGAGCTTTAATTCTAGTTAGCAGGCTCAAATGTACTCCTAAATTACACGGATGCTACAGAACTCTTCCACAATGCCTAATTTCTAGGATAGTTGTAAAAATGCAGATAGAGTTTAAATTCCTCTGCCTTTCTTTCATTAATTTATTTGAGAGACAGTGAGAGAGAGAGAGCACAAGCAGGGGGAAGGAGGGAGGGAGAAGCAGACTCCCCACTGAGCAGGGAGCCTGATACGGGACTCGATCCCAGGACCCCAAGATCATGTCCTAAGCCAAAGGCAGATGCTTCACCTACTGAGCCACCCAGGCGCCTCCCATGTCCTTTAATTTTTTTTTTTTTTTTAAAGATTTGACAGAGACATAGCGGGAGAGGGAACACAATAAAGAAACTGTCAGAACACATCCCAGGAGAAAAGTGCTAGGTTAACATTCCTCACAGCAGGTCTGACTCTTTTCAGAATCGCAGGGATCCTTTGGTTTCTGACAATCTGAACTCAGGTGGTTTAAAGCAGAGATTCTGAAAGCATGCATCCTAATTTCTCCTTTGGTTGATTGTCCTTAAATATTCTCATGGGGGGCTGACAAAGACAGCAGGATTAACAGCTTTAAAGAAAACACACTTTACTTACTGCAGCTCCAGAATACGCGCTCTTCCTGATAATGTTTGCCCAAAACATTCGGTATCATCTCAAGCCTACACACTAACTAAGAGGCGCCTAACCAGAGAAGGGGCCTTTCCCAGACCAGAGAGTTCCAAAACAGACAGTACTCTGAAGGGATGAAAGGCACAGGCCCTGGAATGATAGCTGTCAAGATGCCAAGACTCCAGCTTCAGGAAACTTAGAGGGCAACACCAGCTCACACACTTGGCAGAGAGACGGGAAGGGAACAGATTTCTCAAACCTCAGGCGCCATAAAGGCTGCAATATCCCTTTGTTCATAAGCAGAATGAAGAAAGGGGTTAGGCTAAAAAGGACTTTAATGAGGAAAAACTGGTACCTGCCAAAGGAGTGCACTGCAAAGAGAAGCAGAGAAAGGCTCCAGGATGTCAGAGGAAAGATGAAGCCAATCTGCCCCTGAGAATGTCCCTCACTTGTCAGAGGGGGATAAAGGTGAAAACAACTGACGAGCTCCTAATTCAACCTCCGGGTTCCCCAGAGCTGCTCCAAGGCCACCCACCATCCCAGAACAAGAGGAGCCTAGAGGGTGGGCCTTCTCTCCCACTGGCTCCAACTTGCCCATCTTAAACCGAAGAGCAAAGTGCCCCCTCTCCAGCTGACCTCTCTCATGTTCTCTCTCTCTCAAATAAAAAAAAAAACTTAAAAAAAAAAAAAAAAAAAAGAGAGAGAGAGAGAGGCCCTGACACACCTTCCTCATAGTCAGAAAAGGGAAGTTAAAAAAAAAAAAAGACAAAGCAGAGACTAAATCAGCATCCATAAAGTTGTTTCTGATTAAATCAAAGTGAAAGTGTCTTCCACACTTGCAGAAAATCAGGTATCATTCCTTCTTCTGTTATCAGCAAGGAAGCAGCCCACAAAAGACTTTAATAATGATCTTGAAACGTCACAGGCCCAGCTAATTTGATGTTATGTGTGCAGGTGAAAGCAACCAGGTGTCTAGAAACCATCCTCTTTTCTGTTCTTCTAGTTTCTACTTACGAATTTAAACCTGTTACAAAGCCAAAGCCCACAAAAATGACCTTGAAGGAAAAAACTGGTGGGTTAGGGTCAAGTGGACCTAGCTCCCCAAGTTAGGCCTACCAGAGAAAGTGGAATTTTGCTTTCCACGTTGCTATGAACAATAGCCTTTGAATATTTCAAAAGGTCACTGAGAGCTGTGAGGCCAGCATCTAAGTACTCGGAGGGACCTCCGTAAGGATGAGACCCTTTCCTCAAAGTTTCCATATGCCCCTGCCTTTTTTCCAGCGGAGAACGCTGGCATTCATGACCCCTTCCCGATGTCCCGTTACCTCGTTTGAACTCCTCCAGGACAGCGTCCAGCTTGGTGTCGTTGAAGACGAAGTGGAGCGGATGGTTGTAGAAGCGGGTGATGGTGCTGAGCGGCGTGCAGTCTTCGGGATCCACGAAGGCCAAGTCCTTGAGGTAGAGCATGTCCACGATGTTGGAGCGCTCCTCCTCGTACACTGGAATGCGCGTGTGGCCGCTCTGCATGATGCTGGCCAGGACGCCAAAGTCCAGCACGGCGCTGGCGTCCAGCATGAAGCAGTCCTCGAGCGGCGTGAGCACGTCCTCCACGGTCCGGCAGCGCAGCACGCCCTTGCTGAGATCGCTGTAGGGGTCGCCGCCGCCGCGGGCCAGCTCCAGCACGCGTTCCCGCAGCCGCCCGGGCCGCGCCGCCAGCTCCAGCAACTGGCCCACGGGCAGCGCCACGGGCAGTGTCAGCAGCACCGCGAGGCGACTGAGGAGCAGCGCGCGCGGCGCCAGCGCCAACGTCCAGCGTCCGCTCACGGCAGCCGGCACCACCTCGCCCACCAGGAACACGAGCCCTGCGCTGCCCAGCACGGCGGGCACGGCGCGCTGGCCGGCCGCGCGGTACAACAGTACCGCCAGCGCCGCCTGCGCCAGACTGGCCAGTAGCAACAGCGCGCCCAGGGCGCAGCCGGCCCAGCGCCGCGCGGGCTCCAGGCGCCGCGCCGCCGTACGCTCGGCCTCCGAGCCGCTCTCGCGCAGCACCTGCACCTCGGCGGGCGCCAGCGCCAGCGCGCTCAGCTGCAGGCCCCGCGCCAGCGCCGCCAGCGCCAGCAGCCCCGCCACCCCCAGGCCCAGAGCCCAGGGCGGCGCCGCCTCCTCGGTTGCCGCGCCGCCTGGCTCCACGCGCACCGCCAGCAGCGCGGAATGCGGGCGCACGGCCTCGGCGCGCAGGCGCAGCAGCGCGCTCCACTCGCCCGCAGGGGCCACCGCCTCCTCGGCCGCCGACGCGTCCCGCTCCCCGCGCACCGCCAGCAGCGCCGAGTGCGGGCGCGCGGCCTCGGCGCGCAGGCGCAGCAGTGCGCGCCACTCGCCCGTGGGGGCCACCGCCTCCTCGGGCGCCGCGGCCGGCCCGCCCTCGGGGCAGCCCGCCCCCTCGGGGGCTACCCAGGACCAGGAGCTGTTGGCCAAGCCGGAGCCGAAGAGGCGTAGGCGGAAGGTGGCCTCCCGTGCAGTCCGCACCTCTTCTCCGCGCTCCCACCCCACGTCCGCGGCTCCGTCCTCCTCCAGACAGACGCCCAACACTCGCGGGCCCGACGCCGCCTCTACGGCGGCGTTGCCCAGGCACAGCGCGGCGAGCAACCAGCCTAGAGGACCCGCCGCCGCGGCCGCCGCCATCGCCTGCTGCCCCCTCTCGGCCTCCCGCGCAGCCTACCCCTCCGCCTCCCCCGGACCAATCGTCGCTAGCCTTGGCGCCTCCTCCGCCAATAGGCGGCAGACGGGGGCGGGCCCCAGGGTCGGACTAGGCTGCGCCGGGGAGTAAACAAGCCGCGGCGCGATCCCGGGGCGGGCCGGGGGCGTGGGGCTCTCGGCCCCGCGGGGCTCGGCTGTGACTCCCAGGGCGAGAGGGGGCCAGCGTCCGGACGCGCGGAGCGTAGAGTTGGGCGTCCAGTTCCCACAGGCCGTGCCGGCGAGCCTGGAGGCCGCACTTGTCCCTGAACCGGGGCGCGGAGCGGAGTGGCTTCCAGGCAGAGTGTTCAAGTGTGTGTCCGATGGACCGTTTCCTAGGAAAAGGGCCCCATGAGCCACGGCATAGGCGCAAGGAGAGCTGAAACAACCGATGACGGGACGTTGGGAAGGTCAAGTTTCCTGAAGATTGTGCCCGACTGTGCTGTAGGTCTGGGGACGTGAGACACAGCCCTTTGCCTTCATGGAACTTGAATTCCTGCCAGGGAGAACGATGGTAATGATGTAAATACGGGAAATCACTACCTCATTGGACCCTCATAGTTCCTTTTACAGGAAAAAAGTGAAGCATGACTTAGCACGGATGCAGGATTCCAACACGACCTGCCTGGTCACTATCTCAGCCACGTTAGCAGAGGGCAGCTCTGTCAGAAATTACTGTTACCTGGTCACTCCACTTCCAGCAGTCCTTGGGAAAATATTTCCTCTGGAACAACAAGAACTATTCAAGAGGATCCTTACTGGAGAGTTATTTTAGAAGACAATGTGGTTCATTGACAGGCTGAAATGTTTTTCACCCATGGTATATGATCTCTGTAAGATTGGAAGTAAATAGAAAAACCTAACAAGGCTTCTCTACAGGGATCCAGATTTTTTTATTATTATTATTTTCTTTACATTTTTATGTATTTTCAAATCTCCTAACAAAAGTAGACTTTTGATAAGGGTGCTCATATACATGTCATTTAACTTCTTCCTAAGGAGTCTACGGAAATACATTTGCTAGGTCATGAAAAGAATAAGAAAAAATAAAGGCACTATGGCCACAGTTAAAATCTGTAGAAGGCAATGTGCCAAAATGAGCAAATCCATGGCAAATGACCAAATACAAACAAACAAAAAAAACCTCTGTGGAAAAACTCTTCAAAGGATGCTAAGAATGTCTCTTCAACATCATAAATTCAGTGCTGTGACTCAGTCACATCTCCATGTTTTCAACTTTTATTATCTAGAGGGTGCTACACCTCACTGGCAGATTACAGAATAAGCCACCAGCAGAAGCAATAATGACACTACTGAGTCTTTACACTGGATCAGCACGACTCCTTTGAAGGAAAAAAAAAACTATGGATTCAGCCCCTTTGGTTCACACGTCTGTTTCCAAGACCAGATAAAATGCTGACACTGAAATAGAATGGATGACATACTTGAAAGTTAAGTGCCTGAAAAGTTATTAATTAGCAAAAAACAGTTCCAGAGCAAAGACAGGAAAAATTCCCTATGGATCTGGTCTCAGGCACCCTTGGAGAACAACCGGTCATTCATTTTTTGAGCAAATCTTTGGGTAGGACAACTGGATCACACTTGGAAACACAAATGGTCATTTAAACTGTGATACCCAAAGACAGAAAGAATCCAATAGGGCAAAGCTGCTCAAGGAGCGATTTTCTGTTAACAATAGAGGCCTCAACAGTACTTCTCCAGCTTCTTTCTTCATTGGCTCTGCACCATTCTTTACCCTCCACCATGGGTGGTAATTGGATCAAGGGGTGGTCATTGCATCAATGGAGACACATACCACTTGACCTTCAATCCCTCATTGACCCACCCTGGGCCATTTTCCTTACTGTTCATTTGGGTCAAGACCTTTCCATGTTTCATCTCAATACAATTCTTGAGTTTTAAACTCGTTTTAACTACTGTGACTTCACTGGGCTAATTCCTGCTTATTTCTCAAGTCTGCAAGTGTCACTTACTCCAGCTGGTCTTCCTCAACCATCTTGACTAGGTTGGGTCATAGTTATGGGAGCTATGTGCTCTTCCTTAATAGCATCCACTACTTACCTTTTTGTAAGACCCATTCACTCATTCATTCAACAAGTGTTTCCTGCAATGTACCGCGTAACATTCTCATGCTGGGAGTATGAGGGAACGAGAAAGCCCCCCGCCCTGCCAGAGCTTTGGTTCTAGCCTGGGAACGACAATATACAAATCCTCATTTTTATATCCAATAATAAGCGCTATGGAGAAAAACAAAGCAAGATAAGGAAGTGGACAGAGGGAATGGGGCCATGCTATTTTAAATGTGCTGACCAAGGAAGTCTTCTCCAAGGAGGTGACATTTGAACAGAAGCTTAGATGAAGTGAGGGAGTGAGCCTCACAAAGTCTTGGGAAAAGAGTGTTCCATGTGGAAGAGACAGGAAATCAAAAGGTCCTAGTGTGACTGTCTCCCTTGGGGGCTCTTCCTCACTATACTCACTGTGGGGGTTGGTGGCACCTGGCATGTAGCAGGGGCTTACCCATGTGTGGAACATATGGTCAGATGAAATTTATTCTCGTGTCCACCTGCTTTTGCATCTGTTATTTTATCTGCAGTGTTCTTTTTTCTCCCTAAGTGCATCCCTTTCGTTAAACATTAGCCCCAGTTTGTCCGCTCTGGTAAGCCTGGCTTACTTGGCCCCTGCCCCCAGCACACTCCATCACACACCATAGCCACAGTACTTATGGGCACCATGCGAGTGCACACAGCAGAAACCTCAAGAGTCGACGCTGTGCGGTGACTCTCAGGTGTACTCTTTAGTGGTTGAACTGTCCAACTTTGAGACCACCACAGGCTCATGAGCAAGGATGAAAAGGCAGCTGGATGTTATGAAACAACATGAAACTGTGGAATCAAGCTCCTTTCTCCTTCAGCCCCCAGGGGGAGAGAAGGGGCTGTCTTCCCCCTCTAACTGCCCCCTCCAGTACCTGCAGGCAGAAGACTAGGGTTATCCATTTTTACAAATTCCTAATTGTGGCAGTTGAGCACACTTATCCATCTTACAGCAGCTACCACTCTCTAACTCCTGGGACAACAGCCTTGATTATATGTATTTTGTAAATTTCATTTCTGCTTCCTGTTAAACAGTCCCAGAATACTTGCCCCTTGCCCTGTCATAGGCTGACAGCTAACCACAGCCACCATCTCGACGATAGATACCAAATACCAACCAAACTCAAACAGGCAAAACTGTAGACTCACCAAGACTTCATATTTCATTTTTTATTACCAATCAAAAATAAATTCCATATATTGTTTAGCAAATATTATCATTGTCTTGTGACAAAAGACACAAGAGTCATAACAACAAAACTCCCCGAGAGTCAAACTCATAACAATGCCAAAATAAATCACAAAAATATACAAATTAAAATCTTATGCAAAATAAATATGAGTTATTCGCTATGGTGGCTGTGACTTGCCTACCCACTTGGAGGCCATCTGCGAAGGTCTCCCTGACCTGGGAAGACACGCAGGGGTGGGCCAGCTCCAGGGTACGGCTCGACCCAGGAACCAGAGGTTGGAATATGAAGTGAAAAATTGCACTAGGAGGAGGAAGTCATGGGACCAGTAATATTTGGAAATAATTATGACCCTCTGCAAGAAGTGATTGTAAGTGGGGAAAGGGAGGGGTTGAGGGCCCATGTGTTGGTAGTAACTGTGTGCGCAAAGAGGTAGCTGTGGAAGTGTGTGCACCTGCTCCTTTCACTTCACACACTCACTTGGTTCAGGCCAATGTGCTCTGCTCCACCTGGCACTCAGGTCTCTCAGGAACACAGCTTTGCAAGCTCCCATGTGGACTCAGAAAGCAAGCTGCTCCCAGAAAACTGAGGGGTTTCCCCCCACAGGGAATAAAGGTCTGTTTTGTTTTTCTTTTTCTCATGACTGAGAACCCATGTCACTACCTTCTCTCCAGACTTTGAGGAATAAATTCTGTGACTAGGGGAGACTTCAGAACTGGCCAGGGGCAAGCATACTTGGAGCAGACACTTCCTGGTCCCAAGAGTTAACATTTTCCAGGCGCCTGAAGAACGGAGTACTTGGGGTGACAGAAGTCACTGTGAGAAAAGGGTCAATAAATACTACTTAGATGGAAGGTGTGCAGTCTCCCTTGCCTGATCTTGGGCCCCCAGCAAATGTTCCACCCGACAAAAGGGCCAGCATGGACCTTAGCCCCACAGGCTCCCCAACAGTGGCAAGCCTGGACCTCTGCAGCAGGGCCTCATTCGCCCCAGGGAAAAGAAACTGGGGTAGAATTTCATGTGGGGGCAGAGCTTCAGCAAAGGCCAGGATGACAACTCAGGCTAGAATTACAAAGATGGGGGAAACAGGGCTGCCAGCTGCGTGCCTTTTAGGTGGAAACCTCCTTTCCTGGGTTTTTAAGTGTGTGAACAAGGTTGGGTAAGCCTCAGCCACAGAGGAAAGGGCATAGGTTGTCTTCCTATGTGTCCTGTTGTCCTCAATCCAAGAGGCAATGGGGATTCAGGATGAGAAGTAGGGAGTCTGGAAAGAAGGACTTCATAGCTCAGTGACTGACACCTGACTTTCACTGTGGGGTGGGAAGGAGGATGGTCTTAACTGCTAACAACACAGATGCCCATGACCAGATTCCCTCCTGGAACTGAAAGGAATAATTCAGACAAGTCACCCGTAATGTAGATGTTCTCCCACCTAGGGGGAAACCTTTGGTAAAAGTAAGGGCAGGGCCTGGGGAGCAGGGGTAAGCAATCTTAAAGGTGTAAGACCCTGCTTAACACTCTTGAGTCAAACCAGTAGAGACAGGGGTGAGAGTCCTCAGCCTAGCCCAACTCACCAGGAGAGCCCATCAGCCGAGTTCTAGGAAATTCCAGGATCCAGCAGTTGACAGGAGTAGGTGTGCTCCTCTCTGTAGCCGGGAGTACCATGTCCCTCATCACAGTTACCCAGAATCCCTCGGCCTCAGTGACGTCAAACAAGCCTCAGTGCACGCGTCCCGCCAGTTGTTCTCAGCGCTATTTGGTTCTTTGCTTCCTGAAAGGAACTGTCTTCCCCCCAAGAGAAAAACCTTCCTCCAGCAGGCCTCTGGGATACCATCTTTGGAGGAGGAGGAGGAGGAGGAGGAAGAGGAAGGGGAAGAGGAGGAAGAGTAGGCTCCCTGAGACAGGGACGTAAGCCAGAAGGTCATGGCTGGGAGCAGATTATGGCTATTGCTTCCCGGGGTGAGAAACCCTACCCCTTTTAATTAAAGTTTTTGTGGAAAAAAAATTTTTTTTGTTTGTTTTAAATAAAGTTCCTTAACCCTGTCTTCCCCTCCCCATTCCTTTCCCCAAACAATATTTAAAAAGAGGAGCAATGAGCCTAGTTCAGAAATTCTCTCAGTAAAAAACAGCCTTGCTCGTAGTAGCTGGGCCACTGCCCTGCCAGTCCTGGGCTGGACAGCCACTACTTCAGAGCTATTCAGAGGTCCCTGTCAAGAGGCCAGAACTCCCCACATTCTGGGGGCCATGTGGCTGCTCCATTAGACAGGCTATCTGCACCCCTTCTGGCCTGCAAGGCTCCCTATCTTCATGTGGGCCCACTGGGGAGACCCCCGCGGAGATGGCGGGGGGCCCCGGGCCCTCCTGTCAGATGGAGCTCTCATGGGAGGCTTTGTGCAGTAAAGAGTTGCGCTCATTGAGAAGAGTTGTGGTCTCATCTACCACGGGCAGCTCGGGCTTCCCGGCTAAGTTCTCCGTGCAAATAGTGCAGCCATCCAGGGGAAACTGAGGGCAGTTCTCCATGCGTGAGGCCAGCAGCCCATTCTGGTACTGTTGCCGGGTGATCTGCAGGAAGAAGGGGTGAGGTTCACAGAGAGCGGGGATGGAGGCAAGCCTTATGAGACCAGGGACACGAGGCTGGCTAGGGCTGGGGCTGGGGGTCTGGAAGAGAGGACGTGCCCAGCTGGAGAGAGTGAGGAGCAAGAATAAGGAAGACACACGTCTTGGGTCTGGGCCTTCTGTGCCCTGTGTGGGGGGGTGAAAGAAAGGAGCTGCTGATGCCCGAGGCACAGTGATCCAAATGGCCGGGATGGGGAAGACTGCGCTGCCCGGAGGAGAGACACAGGAAGCACTCACCTTAATGTACTGGAGGTCCATGAGCGCCCGGACACTGAAGTCGGAGATGTACTGGCCCAGGACAGAGCTGCCGAACTGGTTGGCGCTGGCCGCCAGGGTGGCCGCGCTTGAGAGATCCGTGCGCTCCGGGTAACTTAGGGAGGCTGAGCGGCTGAGGGTGCTGGGGTGGGCCGGGGAGTGGTCTGTGGGGAGAGACACATGGTCAGGCCGGGGGGTCCCGGAGCCCTCACAGGGGCCCCTCTTGTGCCCCAGACACACAGGTCCGGGGTCCCCACCAGAACGGAGCAGTTCTGAAGGAGAGACAAGCTCCAACTGCAGAAGGTCTGGCCTCCTTAAAGCAAGTGAGTTAGTTTGTTTAGAGGGATTGTGCAGTAACTATTAAAAAGCCTACCAAAGCAGAAAACCAAAACCAAAGACACAAAATCTATGTCTCCAGATCCCCTCATTTCCCCCCACAACTCATTAGTCAAGGGTGACAACATGATTACCCCTCACAGTGGACCAGACACTGTCCTTGTTCCCAAAGCAACTTGTATCAAGGGACATATACTGCACACTTTTACATTAAAAAGAACATAGAGTTTGTACCCTATGATGCATCCACACACACCTCTCAACGTGATGCCCTAGTCACATCTTAACATGCTTGTCACAGGTCAGAAGTGTGTTCTGCACGTGACCCGCTCTGTATGGACCGGTCCTGCCCACTTGTGTCTGCCGGGCCCCCTGTCAGTCTGACAAGGGGGACAGGGGCAGCAGGTCCCTCTCACAGGAGCCTAGAACCCCAGGAGTGACGGGCCTCTCACACTAGCCAACGGTTCCCTCCAGTCCGATCCACATCCCCCTGCACTGAGGCAAAGCCTGGGGGAGTGGGGAAGGTGCCTCTTCCCCCAGGGACAACAGGGCCTCCGTGCATCACACTGTAAGGAACGGGGATGATGCAACCACAAATGAGGAAGAGCAGCCTCCTTATTTTCAGAAAGGAACGGTATACAGACTGCATATCATTAGCTCTTATTTTTGAGAACACTTAGAAAACAATGAAATGCACAAAGAAGTTAATCGTGAAGGCATGCTGGCTTCTTTTAAACAAATAGGAAGTGGAATAGGCTTATTTACTTAGTTGAGCACTAAGTTACTAACTAACTGCTAAGTTAGCTACTCCCACAAACAGTGAAGAGAGATGAACAAATGGCGAAGAGAGCAAACATCACGAAGCCAGGTGTGACTGAATGACCAATACAGCTTTAACTGAGTGAGACTGAACTGAGTAATACTCTGTCTTTGAGCTTCATTCCTAGAACTAGGAAAACATAGTCTGGATATCCTATGACTGGGCAGTATACGATCACTAGAAGATGACAAGTGTGTCACTTATCCCAACTTAAGGAATACCTCTGATTAAGTTCTAGAAAAGGAACACAAATACTATGAATATTACCTAATACTTCACATTAATCATTTGGATGATAATGGACTGCTTTTAACTAATACTTATGAACACTCCAGAATCTGAATTAAAAAACAACAAATTAGGGGCGCCTGGGTGGCTCAGTGGGTTAAAGCCCCTGCCTTCGACTCGGGTCATGAGCTCAGGGTCCTGGGATCGAGCCCCGCGTCGGGCCCTCTGCTCAGCGGGGAGCCTGCTTCCTCCTCTCTCTCTGTCTGCCTCTCTACTTGTGATCTCTGTCTGTCAAATAAATAAATAAAATCTTTAAAAACAAAAACAAAAACAAATTAGTGACATGGCCTTTTAAAAACAGACACCCTAAAAAGACATACACCCAAATACGAAACCTTTGTTTCTGAACAATAGTATTATGATACTCCTTCATTTTCTTTCCTAAGATTTTATTTATTTTAGATGGGAGAGAAACAGTGCTAGCAGGAGGGGCAGAGAGAGCGATAATCTCAAGCAGACTCCACGCTGAGCATAGAGCCCAATAAGGACCTTGATCCCAGGACTCTGAGATCATGACCTGACCTGAAACCAAGTGCCAATCACTTAACCAACTCTGCCACCCAGGCACCCCAATACTGCTTAATTTTCTTAATTTTTTTCCCTTTCTTCAATTTTCTAAATAAGCTATATTGCTTTTATGACTGAAACTGAACTATAAGGTGTGCCCGGCTGGCTTAGGCTGTGGAGTGTGTGACCCTTGATCTCCAGGTTGTGAGTTCAAGCCCATTAGGTGTAGATATTACTTGAAAACGAAATCCAAAGCACCCTGGTAGCTTATCTGGTTAAGATTCTGACTCTTGATTTTGGCTCAGATCATGATCTCAGGGTCATGAGATCAAGCCCCATGTCAGGCTCCACGCTGGGTATGGGGACTGCTCAAGATTCTCTCTCTCCCTCTCCCGATGCTCCTCCCCTACACTTGCTCACTTGCTCTCTCAAGAAAATAAAAATTAACTGGGGTGCCTGGGTGGCTCAGTCATTAGGTATCTGCCTTTGGCTCAGCTCATGATCCCAGTGTCCTGAGATCAAGCCCCGCATCAGGCTCCCTGCTCAGCAGGAAGCCTGCTTCTCCCTCTCCCATTCCACCTGCTTGTGTTCCTCTTTTGCGGTGTCTCTCTCTGTCAAATAAATAAAACCTTTAAAAAAAACAAAAATAGGGGCGCCTGGGTGGCTCAGTGGGTTAGAGCCTCTGCATTCGGCTCAGGTCATGATCCCAGGGTTCTGGGATCAAGCCCCGCATCGGGCTCTCTGCTCGGTGGGGAGCCTGCTGCCCTTCCTCTCCCTCTGCCTGCCTCTTTGCCTACTTGTGATCTCTTTCAAATGAATAAATAAAATTTAAAAATAAAAAATAAAAAAATAATAAAAATATAAATTAATTAATTTAAACCTTAAAAAATAAAATTAAACAGAGTAATAAATGTGTAAAAAAGATAGGGGTTTTTTAACTTAGTAATTCCATTTCTGAAAGCGTATCCTAAGGATATAATCTTAAACACAGAGAAAGTTTTTTCATAAAGAGGTTTACATCATGGTGTTATATAGAACACACACCACAAGGACTGTCCATAAGGGGGGATAACCAATGAAGGCACGTGTGCTTGGGGGAACACTATGGCTCCAACAAGAAAGTTGGATCTCTGCTCTTGTATTAGGTAAAAACAGCAGGACCCAAGCCATGGATACATGAACCCCTGGTCAGTATGAAACAAGAGCAAGTGCGGAAGAGAGAAGGAGGCTGAGGGTGTTGGCCAAGGAAGACCAACATGGTCCACAGATATCACCCACTCAAATGCCGTTAGCAGCTTCCCACTTCCTACCACAACCAGAAGCTGGCTGTCTGAAAGGGACAAGTGACTTCTAATTCACTTTTTTACCTTTTTTTTTTTTTTTTTTTTTTAAGAGAATCAAGAGAGAAGTGTGCTTTGGTACAGTTGAGAGGGAGAAAAAAGCCAGCTGTACGAATATAAAATGGGAAATGACAGACTCTGGGGATAGGTTTTTAGGACTGTCAAAGGCCTCAGGAACTTCTTTAAGTTACACACTGAGACTGGAGCGCGAAGGCAGTTGGCAATGCTCTTAATCTCCTCAGGACTCAGCAGGCCAGTGTTCCGATGGGGAGACCAGCACGTTCTGCCACCCTCTGCTGCCTCCATATAAGTGGGACCAAGTTGACCAACACAGCTGCCAGCAATCCTGGGATAAGGCTCAGGAGTGTGGTGTATCAAAGGCCAGAAACAGCATGTGGCATTGGGCCTTTTCCTTGATACTTTCCAACTGGAATGTCACATTTTAGTTGTAACCAAGAAAAAAACAGAAATAAAAACTTAGCTCTAACCGAACATTCCCTACCTATTCTCTCACTGCCCTGACAATTCTAAGAAGGGGCCACATGGATTGTTCCCATTGCACAAGGGGGAACAAAAGACTGAGAGGAAGTCAGCTCCTGGAATCCTGTTAACTAGCAAGCGCAGAGACAGCACTCAGGCAGTCTGCCTGGGCCGCACTTCTGATGCCTGGCGGCTGCCTCCCCTAACAGGCAGACACCCCAGCAAAAGAATGAAGAGCAAAGCCTGGGAAGAAAGGAGGCAAGTTTTTTAGAGAAAGCTGATGAGATGACAAGGCATCCTGATGTCTGTGAGTGGCCTTGATCACAGGGGTGTGCAAAGGCTGGGCTCACTTGGCCCGGCCAGAAGTAGTAACACTCCCTTCCCACTCTAGCTGTGTGTCTTTGTGTGCACGTGCGTTGTGTGTGCATGTGTGTTCTCAAGGACTGAGGACCTCTGGGGAAGCACTTCCAGGACCAGGGCAAAGCCACCCGGTACCTGGGCCCGCTGCCAAGCAGAGCCGGTGCAAATCAGGCTAGCCCACAAGCGTGAACAGGTGGGATGGCCCAAAATGCGGGTGGGGAGCCCCAGCGGCTGCTGGGAGAGGTTAATAGAGCTGTGGTATGTGGGCTCAGGCAACAGGTGGCAGCACAAATTTCTCCAGCCATGCTGTGTTACCTGAGAGCCAGGACAGCAGGGAGTTCCGCTTGCCAGGCGGACACCCGACCTGGGTTGAAGGCACTGGAGAAAAGAGGAGAAGGTCAGCGATGGGTAGGGTGAGGAGGCAGAACATGGACCCACGGGAACAAGATGGAGAAGCAGATCTGTTGGGGGCCAGAGTCCCTGGGAGGGAGGGGCACAGTGGACTCTGACAGGGAGGAAGCTTAGGGCAGACCAATGAGCGCTGCTCAAAGAGGGGCAGAGGATCCCACAGTGAAGCCAGAGCAGCCCTCCCCACCCCCGGCTGAAGTCATCTCATCTCCCTTTTGGCCAATCCAAGTGGGACCTGAGTGCCTCTAGCTCAAAGGATTCAGCTAAGGACCCAGACCCAACCTCTGAGGCATCACTGCAGAGAGAAAGTGCCTGGAAGAAATGTCCCATGACCACGTGCCCTCCTAGACAAGACTTTCCCCAGCTGGCTGGCAAGAGGTGCTCTTGGGAGGGGCCGAAAACTTCTCCCTAGGCCAGAGACATCCAGGCAGGGGTCCCCTTCTCCAAAACCCAGCTCTGGAGTCTTGTTTTCTCACTGCTTCCTCCTGGAGCCTGCTCATGCTGGGAGAGGGGCAGAGCTGCATCACACCAGCCAATAAGCTGAGCTATATCAATATACAGGGGGTCCTGGCCCCCTGCGCTCAGGGTCCTCTTTGTCAAAAGACAGCAACAGGCGTAACACAGAGGATCTCCAAGAGCCACACACACCTCAGTGTGTGTGGCCTGTCCCCCTGCCACAAAGTGGATTTTCACTTTCTGGCCTGCAGCAACCTGGGGCCCCACTCAAGGCTCAGAAGGGCCAGGCAACTAGCAAGGAACTGATCTCACAAGACTTGGGTCTTGCCTGCAGAGTGCCCACTCCAGCCACAAGGCCCCTCTGGCAAAGAGAGCCTGAGCCACCAGGACTAGAGAAGCAGAAAGCACTAGGGTGGCCAGAGTGGCCCTTCCCTGGACTTCCCACAAACTCTCTTGCAGGGTGTGTCCAGTCCTCTCTTTGCCCCAAGTCCCTTTATGCCATCAGAACCAGCCCTTAACCAAAAGGCAGTGGCTAAGCCCCCTGAAAAGCCAAGCCCATCCGCACCCTACCTGATAAACAGGCCCTGCCCTGACTCCCTGGATCCAGACACCCTGGATGCTCTCACTCCTCACCTCTATTCCCCTGCCCCAGTCTCTGTGAGCAAGACCCTGTAGCCTCCGTCACCTGCTGTCTCTCACTCTTCCCACTGCTACGACTACTTGACAAAATGGCCGAGTTGCTATGGTATGTCCCCCTGCTCCAAGGCCATTCATGGCTTCTTGTTTCCTATCGCAACCAAATGCCAGCCACTTTCTGGGGCTCCCCAACATGTCCTTACTCCCCATGGTCCACCCCCTCCCACCCCTGGAGGCTCTGGTAGGCTGGTATCACATCTCAGAACATGCTCTCAGCTCCCTACAGACTTTGGCTCAGATTCCCCTTCCCGTCTCTTCTTCCCCACTCTTGGAATCCTTTCCAAAGGGGCCAGGCCCTGCTCTCCCGGACCGCCTCCACTAGGCCCTAGCAGCTCTGGCCCTCACTGGCCTCCCTCTCCTCTGAGTCACCTGGACGGCCCTAGACTCTGGGGTACCAGTCCAAGTCTCCCCCCAATCCAGGTATGCTAGAGAGCAGCATGGAGGCAGCCCAGCTACTCACCAGAGGTGGGCGAGGACAGGGCCATGGTCCCGTAGTAGGAGAAGGCACCTGTCTCAAACTTCATGTTCTCCTTCCCGGCCTCCACCTCCACCTTCCCCTGGAAGAACACAGGGTCAGGGTGACAAACAGCCTGAGAAGGAAAGCCCAACTGAGGGAGGAAAAGGACAAGTCAAGAGGGAGAAATGAGGGCGAGGAAGAGTCGGTTCCAGAGCCCTGAAGCGCTCAGGCGCCCTGACCCAGAGGCTCAAGGGTGGCCTCTCGGGAGGAGGACGGGCAAAGGGGGAGCAGAGGCTCGGGGGCAGGCCGCACGGGGGCAAGCCCCGCATCCCCCAGCCAACTCAGCAGGTGAGGAGGCAGAGCGGGCACAGGAGGGCAGGCAGGGAGCAGGCCGCCCACCTGCAGGATGAGGATGAAGTAGTCGGCCGGCTTATTCCGTGTGTACAGGTAGTGGCGGATGTAGTATTTGTTGTGCTCATCAAACTTGAGTTCCTGAATGACATCTGGGTACTTGAGCAGCCGCAGCAGGATCTTCTCTGATATCAGAGAGGGGCTGAACTGGGGAACCTCTGTTGGAAGAAAGACGACAATGACTTCATATGGGGCCTGGCTGGACAGCACCAGGAACACGGTCACTGTGCTTGCTCGCTGCCCAGGCCCTCCTTCCCCTCAGTTCTGCACCTCTGTGGGAAAGCAGCACCCCTTGGATCCAGACTGGTCAGACTCGAGTCTGCCTGCCTACGCTGGAACAGCGGCTCCCACACTGGGCGCACATGACCTTGGGCAAATTACCTAACCTGTGTCTCAGTTTCCTCATCTGTAAAATGGGGATTAAAAACTTCTTAGGGTTGGGGACCTGGGTGGCTCAATGAGTTGAGTGTCTGACTCTTGGTTTTGGCTCAGGTCACGATCTCAGGGTGGTAAGATCAAGCCTGCATCAGGCTCCACAGCCCACTTGAGAGTCTCTTCCTCCCACTCTTCACCCTCTGCCCCTCCCCCACTCATACTCTCTCCCTTTCTCAAATAAATAAAACTGAAAAAAAAAAAAATTCATAGGGTTGGGGCACCCGGCTGAGAGCATACGACTGGCAAGAGCATAGGACCCTTGATCTCGGGGTTGCAAGTTAGAGCCCATACTGGGTATGGAGACTCCTTAGAACAAAACAAAACTAAACAACAACAACAAAAAACAAAACATCTGGTAGGGTCATGGTGAGGTTAAATGGTAATACATGTAAAGCACTTAGACACATGCTTGGCATATGGAAAGCACTTCATAAATGTTAACCATCATTATTATCATTAGCACCATCATCAATGCCCTGGCAAGAAAAACAAAGAATTAACACCCTTTAGCAAGTGAGGGTTGGGAAGAAGAGTCAGATTTGGAAGGAGGGAGGAACAGGCAGGAGCTTTTCAAATCAATCACCCAGGTCCCCAAAGGGGCTTTGAATCAGGGGTGTGAAGAGAGGAATGTCACTGATCTAGAGGTCAAGTCCTGCTGGCAGCACATGCAGGCAGAGGGGAGGGGGGAGCGATGAGAACAGAACTGGATTCAGGCTATGAGTACATGAGCCAGACCAGTGCTATGGGCCCACAACATGTGCAAGGGCTTCCTTCGCCCTCCTCCCCAGCATCCAGGGGCCTGGGGAACCCCAGTGCCCATCTCAGGTACTCCTAATGGTTCTTTTTTTATTTCACCCTCCCCACTCTTCGCGGTGGTTATTTTCAGAACCTGAATGCTTCCTAGAATTTTGCAATGACAACCCATCAACAGAGAAAACAAACCACCACAGGGAGCGCCCCAGGGATGGAGGGAAGCCACCTCGCCCCTTTTCAGAGGCAGCCTCGGTTCCCCAGCACCTTTCAAATAGCCAGAGGCCAAGAACTTCCCCTCCATGACTGTATCCCACCAAAGCCTGAGGGCCCTCCTCTTGCTCTTACCCGTGGCCAGGAAGCGATGAGCAGCCAGAAGTAGCTGAGGTGAAATTTTCACCTTGAGTTCATTGTCAGCATCTTTGAAGGCTGAGAAGTCACGTTTATTTTTCTCAGATACTCGTTTCCGGCTTCGGTTGTCGGCTGTAAGAGAAAGAATCTAGAACTGAGAATTCGGTTCCCAGTAACTCAGGAACACACTAGAACCTGCGTGCCAGCTCCTGGCTCTGCAGTCCCCTCTTCCACACACAAGCAGCACTGTCTGATTCAAGGCAGGCTCCCTGGCTCGATGCTGAGGCACAAAGGCCAGGGGGAGCAAAGATGTTCTCCTCTCACCGATCTGAGCAGCATGCCCAACGCTCACCCTGGCCAGTGTGAGGGACCCAGTTCCTGGGCCTCAGGGAGCCGGGCCTCCCACATCCCTGCACTGTCTGGCCTTCCCACCCAGGGACACCTAGGGTGTGAGCAGGAAAAGGGTTCCAGGCCAATGGAAAGAATGGAACTCACTGTACATATCCGACTCGTCCAGGATCTCAGACTTGATGATCTCCTCAATGACGTCCTCCAGGGTGACCAGGCCCAGCACCTCGTAGAAGGGGTCACCTTCACCCTCGTTGTTCACCTTCTGCACGATGGCCAGGTGGGACTTCCCTTGGGGGATGATGCAATGAGTCAGACAAAAGCAAAGGGCCCAGTCATGAGACGCCTCCACCAAAATATTAACACATTTGGGGTCATGAGTCACTGGGGTGGGGTCATGGGTGGTTTTTTCCCTTTTCTGTATTTCCTAAAGTTTCTGCTACAAACAGATGTTGCTTTTATGAAAAGGAAAACCAAAAGTACATTTTTAAATTTTAAGGCATTTCATCAAAGAGCTTTTGTTTCATTAGAATGAAAATGGCAAGGTCCTGCCTGGGTCTCCTGAAAGTCCTGGAGGAGGGAAAGACACACACTGACAAGCTGTGGACTGTGGAGTGATTGGTTGGAGACATGTGGCTGCCAACTGGACATGGGATTCCTCAGATGGCCCATGCTGCCCATGGGGCCTCCAGGGCCACTCACACTCCTTCACCCTTCTCTCCTTGGCAAATGCCCCAGCATGTATCCAGGGCCATGATACTGCCCAAGGCAAAGGCTCTCAGTTCCCAAAACCATTAACAAATTAGCCCAGGCTGTAATTAGGCCAGGCAAGTACTATAATTAGAGAAGGGCCACCTCTTCAACCTAAAGAAGAGAAAGTCAGAAGGCAGAGGGAGGGGAGGAGGGACCCTCCACAGAAGTTTGTTGGGGGGGGGCGCGCCAGGGCTTTCCAGGCCCTTGTTTTGGGTTTCTACCCTGTTCCTGTGCCCCTCGTCCCAGTGGGTGACAGGAGGGAGACAGCCAAGGCTTGGCCCGCACTGCAGTTTGGATGGGCTGTGTAGCCCACACAGGGACCCAGATTTGGAGCAGCCAAAGGGAGAAAGTCCTGGGAGAGCTGAGAAAGTCAAGCCAGGGTCTCCTGGCAGCTTCCCCTTCACAACCCAGTCTGAGGGCCCCACTCAAAGGACTTCTCTGGAGAGGGCATTTTCCAAGTCTCCAAGGCCACTCCAGATCCCCCAACCCCAGGATGTGCCCCTCAGAACTCCAGAGAGCTGACAGTTCTCAAGACCAGGATTTAAAAAAATAAAATAACAAAGATATCGGAGTACGCCACATGTGATGGGGGGTGGGGGACTGTTTTGTGCAACTTTCACCATCACGTGTCAGTCACTGTGGTACCCTCATCTCCAGCTCTGAGTTATGGTCAAAAAACTTTCAGCACCTTGCTCGAACTACGCACCCAGACCAGACCTAGACAGAACCGTGTCTAGACTCAAAGATTTCCTAGTGTCTTCTAGACGGGGGCCGATGAGAGCAAGTGATCCATCAAGGTCCTCCAGCAGGCCACAGCCCCTCAGAGCCAGGACCCTGGGGTCTGGCCCCCCAGGCCTCTCTGCCTGCTGGAGGCTGCCCACCCAGGAGTGCCTTCTGGAAAGAGAAATAATGCTCAGTCAGGAGGGAACCAGAGTTAAAACAAAGTCGCATTTACCACCTTCCAGACTGGCACGCTCTAAGACCAGTAACACCTGATGCTGGGGGAAGCAAGGCAAACAAGCACGCCCTCAGGTCCTCGGGTTGGTGGGCAGGTAAATGGGCACACTTCAGGAGGCCAATTTCGCAGCATGACTCAAAACGGAAAGGTCGCTAACCTTGGACTCAGATATTCCACTGGTAGGAAGCTGGATATAATTGTCTCCAAAGCAGAAAAGGCACAGAAGCAAAGAGGTTCGACAGAACCTTGTTTTTAACCACCTCAAACCAGAAACTACCCACATCAATAGCAATGGAGCAGGAGTCCTGCCACTGCTCCGGGGAGAAAGCAGCAGGGAACAGCCAGACAGAATGTGGAATGAAGCCCGACACAGGCTGCTGGTGGAAGAGCGAGCAGAGGGACAGACTGCATGGTGCCTGCTGGACTGAGGGCTGGCAGGGGTTGTGAACTGCCCTGAAGTGCATGGAAGAGTAACAGTGGTCACCTCCCAGGTTAAGCAGAGTTTGGGGGAGGGGCCCTTGTACCCTGTATGCTGTCCTCTTCTAATTCTGTTCTGTTTGATGGGCTCTAGAATTTTTTTAATTGAGAAAAAATCAGGGGAAAAACATAATTAAGGAGAACAAACAAAGCGAGACTAGTGAGTGTCCAGGGTGAGCAAGGACCCTCTGTGCCTAAACCGGCATAGACCAAGTCCCAGGGAACGGGGTGCGTCTGAACGTGGCTCGGTTATTAGCCAGTGCCTAGCTCAGAGCCTGGAAGTCAGAGTCCCCACGCAGAAGGGACATAGCTTCAATAACCTGAGAAAAATGTCCTCCTCCCCACTGAACCTCCAACGAACCAACAAATCCTGACACACAGTCACAGGTCGCACTGGACCACACCAGGAAAGGCTGATGGCTTCTCTAAAGGACAGAAACATCCGTCCTACAAAGGAAACACGTGGACTCCTTGAGCCCAATCTTGGGGCTGCTCTCAACCCTGGGGCCCTCTTTCTGAGGCTCCTTTGTGTGTGGTGTGAGGGGACAGGCGGGCGCCCTCCAGAGACAGGTAACTTGCAGGTGTACAGACCTGGAGCACTGCCCACAGTCACCCCAGCTCTGTGTGCTAAGAGCCCCGTGTGTGTGTGTGTGTGTGTGTGTGTGTGTGTGCGCGCGCGTGCGCGCACGCACTTGCATGCGCCAGCTGGCACTGATTGTGTTAGTCTCCTCCCTGGCCAGAGAACCTCTCTTGCCAAGGTCACCGGTGACCTCCAGTGGTGGGGTCTCAAGCTCGGGCTGCAGATTCTGAGCAGGGGTCACTCTCTCCCACTTCCTGGAAACCCTCCCTCTCTCCCTAGCTTCTAGCACACAGCTCTCCTGATGCTCCACTGCCCTCTGGGGCTGCTGCTCCTCCCTGACCTCTATGTCAGAGGGTCCCAGGGCTCAGTTCTGGACCTGTCCCTTGCCTCGTGACTTTAAACACAAACTCTATGTCAAGGTGTCTCAAACACCTGCGGCCCAGTCCTCTCCTGCACCCTCCAAACTCTGTACCCAACTGCCGGCGGACAGCTAGCTAGCTCCTCCCAGAAGCCCAACACCTTGAACTCCACATAGCCGAAATCAAATTCCTGCCCTTCTTCCCCCCAGCCTTCCCCATCTCTGTCTGTCTGGTAGATCAAGCCATGGGGGAGTAAACTGTCCCTCCTCTCTTTCTCTACCCTTCTCCATCCAACCTTTCCATCAGATCCCCTCAGCTCTGCCTGCACCCGACACCCAGACTCCAGCCTCTTCCAGGGTCCTCCACTGCTACAGTCACATTCTGGGCCACATGCACCTCCTTCTCACCCAGACAGCTAGACTAGTCAGCTCCCTGCTTTATCTTGGGCCCGGATCAGCTCTCAACACAGCAATAAGAGGGGTGACGTCAGGTCACCTCATGTCTCACCAAGTCCCTCCAGTGGTTCCTGTCTCACCCCACGTAAAAGCCTCCTGCCTGAGTGGCCCGGGTGTCCAGAGCCCTTGGTGCTGACTATCTCCTATCTGTACTCCTCTCTCCAGTGCTCAAGTCAGCCACAAGGCCTCCTTGTTGTTCCTCATACCTGAGGCTGCTCCCTTTGCAGGGCTCCCCCTGAGGGGCCCTCTCGGTGAGGTCTACCCTGAGAGCCTCCATGAAAACTGCGATCCTTCCTCCAGCGCCCTAACCCTGGTCATGAAATCACCTAAAATACATGACATAATATGCTTATTCATTGTATTTATTGTTTATGGCCCATCTTCTGCTAGATTTTGAGCTGCATTATAGCAAGGGCTTTAGTCTGTGTCCCCAAAACTCAGAATGGTGAGCAGCACACACCAAGTGTTTAATGGGTATCTGTGGAATGAAGGACTCAATTTACACAGATGTTTCCTTAGGAGAAATGTAATCAATGCGAAGGGGGAAAGGGATGAAGAGAGAATTCCTTTGAATTTTAGTAATTAAGAAGTTTCTGTAATTCAAAAATGATTTTGGGGGCACCTGAGTGGCTCAATGGGTTAAGCCTCTGCCTTTGGCTTGGTCGTGATCTTGGGGTCCTGGAATGGAGCCCCACATTGGGCTCTTTGCTCAGTGGGGAGCCTGCTTCCCTCTCTCTCTCTGCCTGCCTCTCTGCCTACTTGTGCTCTCTCTCTCTCTGTCAAATAAAGAAATAAAATCTTTTTTAAAAATGATTTTGTTTACCTGTTTTAAAATAAAAGGACCAACTTGGGACCTCTATTTATGATCCTCATTGTATGAAATTTAAATCTACTACAAAATGTTTATTTTAATGAGTTCCCTCATTTTATTACCGGCGTCCATTCAACTGGGTAATTGGATTCTGGGGGCGGCTGGGTGAGAAATTGAACATGAAAATGTAAGTAACACATCTATCCCAAAAGCTAAGAAGCCCCCATTTTTCAAAGTAGTCCTTATTCAAAGAAAAAAGACTGAGGAAATATAGCAAAATGCTTGTATTTTGCTCCTCCATTTGAAATTGTTCATATTTGACTATTTTTGACCAGCCAAAATGATACTTCCATATGATTAAACCTGAAAGTATGGAAGGGTTCAGGATATGGTTTGTTTCTTTTTTATACTTTTTTGAAGAGAGATCCCAACCTTTCCGGAGTCAACAGTATTAATTTTATAATCAGAAAGAAACACATCTATTGGGGCGTCTGGGTGACTCAATTGTTGGGCGTCTGCCTTTGGCTCAGGTCATGATCCCAGCGTCCTGGGATCGAGACCCACACTGGGTTCCCTGCTCTGTGGAAAGCCTGCTTCTCCCTCTCCCGCTCCCCCTGCTTGTGTTCCCTCTCTCACTGTGTCTCTCTCTGTCAAATAAATAAATAAAATCTTTAAAAAAAAAAAAGAAAAGAAAAGAAACATATCCATTAGAAGTAGCTTTGAAAGACTCTCCTACTGCTTTCCCCAGGGACTCGGGGCTTCTGGAGCCTTTTACACTCCTGCACTGCTCATACGGGGCAACACCTGGCTGTGGGAAAGGAGGCACCATGAGGTTGTCCTCGGTCTGCTCTGGGCCACACCTGGCTGGCAAGCTTGCCCACTCTGCCTTTTTTGACCT